AATAATAGAAATCAAGAAAAAATAAAAGGTTTAGATTTTAAACTAATAAATATTAACAAAATGAAAATATAATATAATATAAAAATTATAGAATAAAAAATAAAATAATAACTTGTGGAGTTTTTATTTAAAGATATGAATTTTATTTAACTTTTTAAAAATAGATGTTGATCTATATATAAAAATGGATATGGAAAGGAATATTTTAAAATGTCAAGTAATATAATGCATGTAGAATAGAATATAAGTTTTTGAAAAAATGAGAAAATCATTTAAGGATTTCGAAGAAGTAGAATAAATAAATACCTAATATAATATTTTTTTGGATAATTTAGAACAAAAATTTGAAAATTACTTTTAAAAATACCCTATTAAATAAAATTATTGTTTTTACATATTTTTTTATTCTGAAATAAAAGGAGATTTAAAAAAAGCAAGCTAAAAATATTATTAATAACAAAATCAATAAGTAAAAAAATACTAATTAACTTAAAAAAAATATATATATATATTTTTTATTATATTAGATTTAAAATTCTAATATTAATATAGTAAATAATATATTTCATCCTAATGTATTGTATTTATTAGTCACAATGGGTAAAATTTGGGGAAAAATAATTTCTTTTTCTGATTAAGTGCCTATAGTATTAGGCTATGGAAAATAAGAGTTTAATTATGTCTCACATATTAAAGAAATTATGCCATCAACTATTGCAGGAGTTCATGATGAAATTATTAGATGCATGATGACATAAGGAAACGACACACTTGTCAATAATTAAAGATAGATATTTCTTAAAACTAAAAATAATTTGTTAATTAGAGTAAATGTTTTTATTACTATGAATCTATATTATAACTAAGAATTGCCTTTTAGTATCTTTGTAACTGCTATTAATACTTAAAATGGATTTTTATTTGTATCAAATACAGGTTTTATTGAAGGTATAGACTAGAATTTCCTTAACTTAATTGGATATGGGCATATTTAAAAATTAGCTCCTTATTTTTCAATTAATGCAAGCTAATGCCTACCCGATTTTGAATCTTTTATAGAAATTATGAATAAATAGGATATTAATCTTTATGATGTTAATGAAACTTCATTAATTTTTTTAATAAGTAACATCCTTTATATTAGCAAATTTTTAATTATAAAGAAATAGATGTATTTAAAATAATAATATAATTTTTTTTTAAATATATTAAATTAATATAAATAAAGGCAAAAGATCTAATGAAGTCTAGTCAGTATTCCTAAAAATCAATTAAATTTTTTAAATCAGTTATTTAATCTTAAAAATCAAAATCATAATAGGGAGGAAGCTCAAAAAGCCTAACATAATAATAATAATAAAAAAATATAATAAGTAATTTATTTGTTTTCGAGCAAACATCACAATCGAAAGAAGAAAAGTAAAAATGATTGATAAAAGTTATATTTATTACATTATAGAAATAAAATTTATCTAAAGTTAAGAAAAATATGATAGTATGTCTAATACGTCTAAAGTTCAAGATATTCATATAGATGAAAACTATTAATAAAACAATTCATAATTATTAGTAATAATAATTCATTTATTTTTAATTTTAATTTTTTTTTAAAAAAAAGTTGCCTTTATAATCTGTTAATATTAAAGATTTAATGGCTGAAGATTAGTTATTTTAAACACAAAATAGTTTAGGTACTGAATAAAAAAATCATTTTTAAGGGTAAAGTTAACAAAAGGAATAAAATTAATTAAACAATTAACCATCAATAGGTTAAAAATTAGAAAAATAATATGGAAAAAGAAGTTCATAAATTAAGAATTAAATTAGTATGACTTTTAATTCTTAAAAGAGAGATCTTAGTTTAAAAAATAATCTAATGGATTAATAAGGCCATCCTTAATCTAATAGTTCGTCTTAATTAAACGAGTAATAAAGTTCTTATGAAAAATAAAATTTTTACTATGAATTTATCAAAGAAAAATAATATCCTTTTCATATGAAAATGATTTCAATATTTAGGATTTTGGAATATTTAATTATAGTTTTAGCAACTGTTTTAAGTATTATTATATAAGAAAGAACTTTATTTGATATGGATAAAAATTTAAATGCAATATTTCTTTAATCAAGTATATTAACCCCTTATGGAAATTTTCTGATTTTAGTTTCAGATTTAAATATATAGGATACGTTAAATAAAAAAACTATTAACTTCTAAGTTCAAAAATATAATAATAAAATAAAAGTTGATTGGTAAAATCCAAATTTAAATGAATTATTTATTAATATGTAAGTAAAATTATATAATCCTTTTAATAATTTATAATAAAGCTATTCTCTTAAATCTTCTACTGTTTAGCTTTTATATTATTTACTAGAGGCTTAATGTAATAAATATATATTATTATTTAAAAATAATTAAAATAAAAGAAGTTCAGAATATTTAATTAATTGACTTTTTAAAATAGCCTTAATACGAGTTTCTATTTTCTAACTATAAATAATTTTATGATTTTTTTGACATATAAACTTAGTAAATAATGTAAAAAAGTTAGGATTTTAATTAAGAATCATTAAAAAATTTACTTATTCTGATAGTTATTTTAAATTTTGTAACTTTAATAATATTTATATTAAGTGGAATAAATTATTTAAATTTTTAGAAAAATTTGATTTGTTTATTTAAATTAATAGAAATTTCAACTATATAATAAGTAGAAAAAGAATCAAATTATTTATAAAGTTTACTGACTGAGTTAAACAAAAATGAGAACATTTTTTCTAATTACTAATTTAGTTTAAAATTAAAACAAGATTAATTAAAATAAACAGTTAATTCGAAGAAAAAAAACTAAAAAATAGCAATTCAAAAAGAAAAACTCAATTTTATAATTTTTGGATTGCACTCAGTATTTGCCTATTCTATTTTTGTTTTTTTTACAATTATTTTCTATTTAATTATTTCAAATCATGTATCTTGTCTTCATGCAGGTTTATAATATTATAAATATGTATCAGATGCAAATTTCTAAGTTGGATAAAGTGAAGTTCTTAGAATTATTTTAAAAAAGGAGTTTAATAATCAACTATATCAATAAGATTATATTAAAAATTTATAAAATATACAAAATTTTATTGACTATTTAATGTCTATAAATAAAATTGAATACCTGACTGATACTCAAAAAAACACTTTATATGATTTAATAACATTATCAATATGTAGTAATATAGAAGATGGTACAGATAAAAAAAAATGTGAACAGTGTTAGGATGGAATACTTACAAAAGGTTTAGATAATGCTATAAGTTATTATTTTTAATTTTATAACGATATTTTGTTATAGTAATTTCAAAATATAAATTAAAAAACTTTAAACAAATTAGATAAATTTATGGGTATTTTTTTATCAAATTAAATAGAACTTTTGAATGAATAAATAAAAGATATTTTACTTGAAAAAACTAATGTTACATAATTAAATAACATAATCCTTAGTATAACATTGATTATAATAATTACATTTTTATATCTGCTTGAAATTATTAAAGGTTCCAAAAAATATTAAACAAAAATAGAATTTGCTAAGAAAATAATATACTTAGTCCCATTATAAACATTATTAATAGAAGAGACTTTTTATAAAATCATTAAAACACAGGCAGTTAGACTAAATTTAGTAAAATGATAATAAAAGCAATTATGTGTCAAATAAAAAATATATTTAATAAAAACAAATTCTAATAATAGTTATTATTTATTAATAACTATTATAGAGTTTAATTAGCCTTTTTTAAATTGTTTTTATTTTTAAAGTTTATATATGTATGTTTATTTATTGGATTTTATTAAAAAATAATCATATTTATTTAATTTTTATTTCTTTAATTATCATATGTTTAAAATAAAAAATATTATATTGTATTATTATTATATTATATTATAATAAATTTATTTTAAAATTATTAATTAAAATATATTTTAATTTTTTTATTTTAATCTAAAAATAATTTTTTTATTTTATTTTAGATATTAAATAAAATTTTTTTCTAATAAATAAATACTTCTTCTCTATATTTTATATCTTTTTTTATTTAATATTTACTAAATTTTAATATTTAATAAAGTTATTTTTTAATAAATAAAAAATAAAATATCTTTTAAAAATAAAAATAATCAAAATTAATTATTAATAATTAAATTATAATACTATAATATTTATTTTATATTAATAACAAATAATATTTTATTTATTTTATGTATTAAATATTTTTTACTTTTCCTTTTCATTTATTATTAAAAGTTAATTTTTGATTTTATCAAATGAAATTTTATTTTAAATTTAAAAATTAAATAAATTTTATAAAAAAAAATTAAATAAAACTTATTTTAAATAAATTAAATGTGTATGTTATAAATTTATTATGATTAATGTTAATTTTTCAATATAGAATAATAATGTACTCTTTATATTATAAATTTACTACATTATTTTAAAATGAAAAAAAAAAATACTATTATAATAAAAGGCATTTATTAAAAATATCAAATATTTATTTAAAAGTTAAATTAAAATTAGAACAATTTTTATTTTTAATTATTTTATATATAAATGAAAATAAATAGAATTTAAAATTATTCATATTTAAGTTTTTAAAAATGATTTGATTTTATAGTTTAGAATATAATATTAAATATATTAAAATATTATTTTATTTCATATAAATATATATTAAGTATTATTGATTATTTATTATTTCATTCAAACATTTTAGCACACATTTTCTTTTATTTATTTTAATATTTTTCATACAAAATTGCTATTGAGTCTCTTAATTTTATTATTTCATTTAATTAGCTTTATTCAGTTTGATTTTATTATATATTTAAATGATTATTTAAAATTTATAATGCTTAAAAATAATCAGATTATTCTTTAAGTCCTAAAGCTTTTCTATATATTGATTTAGTATTATTTGCATCAACATTAATTATTTTTTCACAACACTCTACTAATTCTTTCCATTTTTATAATTTCATCAAACATAAACTAGTATTTAACAAACTTGATATTTTATACTATTTTTATAAAAATATAATTATTATTAAACCAATTTTTTTCTTTTAATAAAAAAAATAACTTATTTTATTAAAAATAGTTCTTGTTCAGTAAATTATCCTAATAAAAAATAATTATTTATAGATTCAAATACTCTAAGAGCTTTTTTATAATTATTTTCCTTATTTTATTATATAAATAAAATTATTAATAAAAGTTAAATTAATTATTTTGTTTACTTTAATGAATTTTAATCCAACTAATTTTTTCTTTAACCTTATTAAATTTTTCATCAATAGTCATTGTATATGTATTTTTAGAATCTGTAAAATCAAATAATTTAATATAATAAACAATAGATTAGGGTATTTAGTTTTCGCATTTTTCTTTTATAATTTTAAAATCATCGCCATATTGAATATAAATATTATCTTTGCATTCTATTTAACATTCTTCTGATTTTTTCATTCTTCGTAAAGTCTTTTAGAGTAACTTTGATATTTTATATTCATCTAAAATATATTTCCAGCAATTTTTTTAATTTTCTAAAAATTCGATTTTGCTCATATTAGAATTTTTAACTTGTTCTTCTAAATTATTTATAGTACCTGAATCATAAATTATTTATTAATTTACTTCAATTTTTAAGGAAAAAAATATTCTACAATCTTTTTCGGGTTTTGAAGTACATATACCTTTAAATAATTACTTTTTTATTAATTATCCATTCCCTAAAATATCTTCTATACTGATTAGTTTTTTTAGATTTAATTCTAATTTATAAACATGTATTTCATCACTCTAATTAATTTTATATTTTTCTTTAAAATTTTCATTTTCTAAATCTAAAAAGCCTTTTTGTGTTATATAGCATTCTACGATTTCTTAATCTTTCATTGAACTCATTACACGCCAAATGCAATCTGAAAATCCTATTTCCATTAATTTATCAACTCTTATTATTTCATCACTATTTCTTTCATCTATTATTTCTTATTCTTTACTAAGTTTGTAGTTAACTTTATTAAATTTTATTTTATTTTATAAGTATTTATTTACATATGACTTCATCACTTTTTTCACATCTTTAAATTCCTTATCCTTTTTAGATTACTTTTTTTAAAAAATTCATATCTTATCTTAAGTCTATTACAGTTGTCCAATCTTCTAAATAAAATAAATAAAATTTTTTATAATCAAGAATCTTCATGTGATTATCATCAAATTTTAAATATTCCATAAATATAAAACATATTTCATTTTTTTTCATACTCTCAACTATATTGTCAAACCATTCTTCATATTTATTTTTTCCTATAATTGTTTATTTTTGGTTTATTAAAAAATATTTTTAATAGATTGAAAATTACCTAAATTAAATTACAATAAATCTTATTTATTTAATTTATCAAAATAATTTTAGAATAGTTATCCTTATGGAAATTTATTATTTTCTTCACAATCAGGATTATCAATTTCTATAAATTTAACTTTTACTTCGTCATATTTTGCTGGTTTTGGTAATCCTTGACCAATCTTTAAATTATTTTCTTTTTTTTTAAAAAAAAATAATACTTGCCATATTTCTTTATAAACTCTATTTAAATCAGTTTTTATTAATAATTTGCTTTCTCTTATTATATCTTTTGGCGGTTCATTATCAGAATCAAAATTAGGAGGGTTATCTGATTATAAATCTGAATCATAATATAATAGCTTTTTCATTTTTAAAATTAGATCTTTTATTTATTTAAAATTTTAGTAAGATTTGTTAATAGGTATAATAATAATTTTCTAAAAAAATATTAAATGTTAATTATAATTATAATAAATTTAAAAATAAATTAAAAGTATATAGAAATAAATATACATTTAATATTTTATTTATTTATATATTTGTTTTTATTTTATTTTTTAAATAGAAATTAATGAAATATAAGTAACAATTTATTATCTTTTAGTATTTAAAAATTTATATTTATATATATATATATATATATATATTTTTAAATATTTACAAATTTTATTTTGTTAAATAACACTCAATTTTTTTTCTTCCAAATATTTAAAATGCTTTGTAATTTTTTTATTTTAATTTATTGATAAGTATTTTATTAAAAATAAAAAAAAAATGGACGATAATTAATTAAAAGTATAATATTATCATTTTATATAAATTAATTAATAAATACATAAAAAGAATATAAACAAAAGAATTTGGGAGTATATAAGTAAAGATAGTATGAATGAACAAAGTGTAGCATAACTTATTAATGAACTTTATACGAAATTTCCAAATTATGATATTAATACTTTTGTAAATCCATATTTAAAGTTAACATTATTACATATAAATGCATAATATGGGAGGTCTAATATAATTTAAGGGCTATTGGAATAAAATCCGATTATAGATATTAGAGATATAGTAAATATATTATCTAAATTATATATATATATAACTCACGATTATATAAATATTGATTTATTATTAAATATAATAAATAAATAAAAAGAATTAAAGAACGCCTTTACATTATGCAGCTATGAGTGGCAATATTGAGTGTTTAAAATCATTAATTAAAAAAGGTGCTAATATTAATGCATAAACTTCTGTATTTTATTTATATTTATTTTAGTTTTAATATATAAATAAAAAGGGCAATGAAACACCTCTAATGAAAGCTGCATAGTTTAATTAATAAAATACTTTGTTTTACTTACTTTAAAATAAGGCAGATACAAGTATTAAAAATTTTCTTTAGCAAAGTGTGTCTGATATTCTAAGAATATAAAACCCAAATTTATATTAAATAACAAAATAAAATTTCCCTTAATAAATAAATTGAAATAAAAATTATATTCTTATCTATTATTATTTTACAATATAACTGAAGTTATTTTAATTAGTAATTTTAAGCAAATTAAATAAAATATCTAAAATTTAAATCTCAATAGTAAATATTTAAATCCAGTATAATTTTTATTTAATTTTTTTTTATATATATATTAAGTTTTATATTATTCATTTTTATATTTTTTTTTATTAATATGTAAAATTTTTAAAAAGATATATATTAAATATTTTAAATAAATAATATTTTTTTAATTAATAAAGCTCGAATTAATATCTTTTTTTCACAGAATAAATAAAACTTGAATTATCTATTAAAAAAAATAAAATAAAATATATATTGAAAAAAAAATTATATTTAGTAAAATGAAATCTAAATTTGAATTATTTTTTCAACAATAAAAATTGCATTATATAAAAAATTTTTAATTTAACTTAAATTTATTATTTAAATAATAATTAAAATTTTTAATGAAAAATATAATTTAAATAAAATACTATATTTTTACAAAATATTTAATAATATTTTCTTTATAGGAAAATCTATATATATTAAAAGACAAAAATAAATATTTTTAAAATTATTTTATAATAATTAAATTAAATATTAATTCTTTTATTAATATTATATTTAAATAAATTTTTAATAAATATTTTATCCTGATTTAATTTGAATTTAATTTACAGAATTTAACATTTCCCTGTAAAAATTAATTTTTACATATAAATGTATGAATAATATTTTAAATTTATATAATTAAAATTAGCTTAATTATTTAAAAATATATAAATTAATTAAAAAGAAAAAAACAAGAATAAAATTTATTAACATAATAAATTCATTCTTTAAAAATAAAAATACACGATTATTTGATATAAAAAAAATATTAAAAAAAAGCAATAAATAAAAAAATAAATTAAAAAAAAGTATAAAATTATATAATAAATATCTAAAATAATATTAATACTAAATTAAATAAAAAAAGAAAAGAAAAAAAAAATTAGTATAAATATAATAAATAATAAATTAAAAAAAAAAAATTAAGATAAATATATAGAAAATATAATAAATAAAAAAAAAAAAATTAATTGAAATAGTAATATAAATATAAAATAAATAAAATGATAAATAAAATATTAAAAAAAATAAAAAATAAAATAATAAATAAATAAATAAATAAATAAATAAATAAATAAATAAATAAATAAATATGATTAAATCAATTACAAGTATATAAACCTAAATATTTACAAATCTTTTTTCTAACATTTTTCTAATTGTTTTATGTTCTTTTTTATATGTTGCTTATTTTATTTTAAAAGATTATATGACTTCTTTATTTTTGGCTTCTATATCAGCTCTTGCGCTTAAGCCATTAAAAGATTAATTAGTTTTATTTATTTAAGAATTTAATTATCCTAAAAATTAGTAATAGAATATGCTTAAAAGAAGTTTTTTTTATATTTTTGTCAATTGGATATATGGATTTATATTGTTAATAAAAGATAATCCTTTGAAACTATATATTATTTTTAATTCTATTAAATTTTTTTAATTTAATCTACAAAAGATATTTATTGTTTGTTTTTATTAGTTATCATCTATATTTTTATTTTCAAATTAGGATTATTCGTTTCTGTTTAATTTTTTTTTTTTTTTTGTCTTATTTAGTTTTTAATTGTTTTTGTAATTTAAATATATGGATATTTAATAGATGCTATATTTGTATAAAAAAAAAATGCAAAATTATAAAAAATAAAATAAAATCAAGATTAAATAAATTCTATTGTTTCTGCATTATGTATGGTAGGATTTGTTTTTATTGTAATTTTTGTGCTTGCTACTTTAAGTGGGTTATGTATCTATGACATGTATGATATGAAAAATAAGACTGAACAAACTTTGCTGACACAAATGGAAAATATAAATAGTTATTTAGAATCGGTAGGGGTTAAAGACAAACTTGATGAAAATTTTATAAAAAAAGAATTATTGTAATAAGTTAATAAATTAGACACTTATATTAATTAATCTAACTATTTACCAATAATTTAAGTATTTTAAGGCAAGTGCTTTTTTATTATTACTTTTATAAATTATTCAAATAATTAATAATAATATTTAAATAAATACAAATAGGATTAGCTAATAAATATTTCGACAATAGTGAAATTAATATACATGAAACTTAAGAAACTAAAAAAATGAAAAAAAAAATACATGAATGTTAACTTAATTATTAGCATTATGTTGATAATAATTATATTCCTTAATTCATTAAGACCTATTTTTAAGATATAACCATGTTAATTTGTTATCTAGAACTGAGTGCTACTTCTATGGAACTTAATATATAAGATGTATATATATATTGTATATTTATAAAAAAAAAAATATTTATATTTTAAAGTTATAAGTTAAATTCTTTGATAGTTTTAAAAATGTTTCTGCTAATCTTTATTTAAATCTATAAAAATTCATAGTTTCAACGACCTCATCTATTTTATCAATAATATTTATACTAATCGATTATTTACTATAAACTTTAGTTTATTTTACAGCACTATATTACTTAGTATCTTCAGAAAATTTTAACTTAGGCGATGGTATACAAATTATACCTGGTGATAATTAATATTCTATTTAATTCTAATAAACATTGTAAAAAAATATATCTGGAGTTTTTATTTGTACTTTTAAAATATCTGCTTATCATATTTTATTAACTTGGTTATGCTTAGACATTGCTGGACTTCCTTTTACTTTTATTGCTTCTATAATTGCTGCAATTTTAGCTATAATTCCTGTTATGCCTGTATATACTATTACTATTCCTTTTTGTTTGTATTTATATTTTAATGGATAAATAATTACGTCTATTTTATTTTTCTTAGTATATTTTTATGTTAGTGGAATTGCTATTGAGCATATTTATTCTTAAAACCTAACTGCACATCCTTATTTAATAGGTATATCTTTTTTTTTTACTTCTATTTTTTATTTAAAATATATCAATAGGGCTTTCAGTTGCTTTAGGTATGAGTGTTTTTTAATTAAAAGGAATTATATTTGGACCATTAATTATTTGCATTGTTCTAATTTTAATTGATTTGATTAAAAATTATTTAACATAAATTGATCCATAATAGCAATAAAATGATAATAGTAAAAATCAAACAAAAAATTAGGAAGAAAATGGAAAGAAGTATAAGCAAAAGTCCAAATAAAGCTTTTCTTAGTAGGATATATCTACTGAATAATTAGAAAGTAAAAATAGTTCATGAAATATAAAATATTTATAAATAATTAAAGATATTTATATACCTATGAATAAATTAATGTTTTAATTTTTTAATTATAATAAATCATCTAAAATAATATTAATTATTTGTAAAAATTTAAAATAATAATAATTGTGAATTTAATATTTTTGTTTTAAAGAAATTTGAATTTTATATTAAAATATTTTAAATAAATAAAAAGTTCAATATGCTCATATGTTTAATAATTATATATTAATTTATTAAATTTTTATTTATTATAAAATTATATGAACATTTTTATATTATTTGCTCAAAATAATTAAAATTCTTAACAAATAATAATTTATTTTTACTAATTAAAAGAAATTTGTAAGAAAAAAAATCATATTAAACTAAAAGCTTTTTGAAATCCGATAAAAGTGTCAACTGGGAAAAAAATGTGTTAAAATGTATAAGGTAATAATAATATTAATGATGATTTACGTTACAAAAAAGTATTATTTAAAAATAAAATATCTAACATTCATATTTATTTTAAGTAATTTTTTGTTATTTCCTATTAGTATTATTCTAATTCTTTTATTATGTTATTCTTATTTTTTTATTTCACCAAATAGCTTCATTTTGTCAAAAAATTTAATATGAAAGTTTCATTAAATTCATTTTTTTTTTCTTTTAATCATTTCTATAATTAATTCGATTAATTTAATAAGTTATTAAAATTTTACATACTTTTATTTTCCGAATTTTTTTATTCTTTGTTCATTTTGCTATTATTTAGTAGAATTCATCTTTATATATTTATCTTTACTTATTTTAATATAAAATATTTTTTTTTCTTTATTAGTTTGATTTTTTCAAATGGAATTTTAAATAAAGTATATATAACTTTATTATTTATTTTTCAAGCTTTTTTAATCTAAAATTATATTGTTGAATAATTATTTTTTTATGTTTAAAAAAAGGAAAAATATATTAGTTTTATATAATTCTAAATGTGCTTTTGAAATTTTTTTTCTTTTGTTAATTTTTTGTAGCTTTTATACTATCTAATATAATTAAGTAAGTTAATTTTCATCTATTTAATCTAAAATTATGAATGTTATTATTTTTTTATTTTATTTATATCATAAATTATTTGTTAAAATTAATTGTATGCAAAATTATATTATTTTTTTGCACTTTTATATAAATTACTTATTTTTTTAACATTTAAAATAATAAATACTTTTTAAAACCAATATTATTATTATTGTTCAATGAACAGTTAGTATTTTAATTTATTTTTCTCTTCCTATTTATTTTCATCTTTAATTAATAATTAGGATGATTATCTTATTATTTTAACTTTAATTTATTATTGATTTCGTATTTTAATATATTGTCACAATGTTTCTAATTTTTATTTTAATCTTTTTATCGTCTTTCTTTTCTATCTTATTTCTACAATATTTAACTATAAAAACTTCTTATTTTATCTTTAAAAAAAAAAATATTTAAATTTTAATATAAAGAATTATTCATTTATTATAAGATTAAAATAAGTAAAAAATAAGATTTTTTTGTCAAAAATAATAAAACTAAAAAAAATCGATTTTTTTTGCAAAAAAATAATAAAACAAAAAAATAAACGAATATAGATAATAACAACTATTTAATAATAAAATTAAAAAATAAAATCCTTTCTTATTTAATATTATAAAGATAAAAATATAAATTAAAAAAATCAATTATCTTCATCATTTTAAATAAAATCTTAACATCTTTCATTTATAATCTCTTCAGCTTATTCTTCAAATACTTTGAGAAAGTTAAGATCTAATTTTGCACAATCTTATTAAGAAATATCTTCTACAATATAATTAAGTTCATCTTTTATTCTCGTAGCCCCTAGCTTATTTTTAATCTCAACATTTTTAAATGCATCCAAATAAAAATTGAGTAATTATTATTAAGGTAAACTATAAATCTACAAAAGAACTTCTTTATCATAAAACTCAATCAAAACATTATGCATAGACCTAAATGAACGCAAAACAGAAGTTGTTTACTTAGTTGGGATAACGATATTTTCTTTTGGATTATTCCAGTTTAAATCTTTGATTTATATAGAATTTTTTTTAATTTCTTCACATAAAATAAAGCTTATAGTATCTATAATTTACTAATTATGGTTTTAATAATCTTAGTTTATTTTTTTTATTTATTCTATTAATACGTTTACTTGGCTTTGTTCAAATAAAGAAATTATTTTTGTCTAAATAAATGGTAGAAGTTTTATTGTAAAAATAAGACATAAAGATGAGATAGATAAATTTTTGGCTGTTATTTACTCCATTCCTAATTAAAAGGCTCCTTTTCCAATTATTAATTAAGATGAGTATTAATTGTAGAATTTGTATAATTCGAAAAATTTATTTATAATACTTAAGCGTACTGTTTTTAAATAATGGAGTAAGTGTAAATATGAGTATGACATTTTGATGAGATTTAAGTAGGCGAAGGTTAATTTAAAATTTTGGTCTTTAAAAATTAGCTAATTTTTTAGAATTTTAATGTCTATTTTTTACAAATCATATTGAATTCGGGAAGATAATTCTTACTCTTCATCTTTTTTTTGTTGTTTTTCGGTTATTATGTAGTTTATTATATCGTAATAATCGAATTAAATATCAGAAGGAATCCATTTTTCTTATTCTAATAATTATTTTAGGGTATTAATTTCCTGTTTGTGGAATAATTCTAGGAACTTTTTTTCCATTTCTTAACGAAGACTGTTTAAATAATTTAGGTTTAACTTATTTTACATGTTTTGTTATTTCAAAAGTATTTTTTTTAATTTTTTAGATTAGATTTGTTCGAATTTTTTTAGGTTGTCAGGAGATTGGGTTAATTCGTTATAAAATTCTTCCCAAAAAATAAATACTTTTGTTACTTTTCGAAAATGTTAAATGGATACTTCTTCTTCGTATTTTCTTTAATTTATCATAAAAGATATTTTATCATCTATAAATTAATATAACTAAACTGAATTGACGTTAATATCATCTATTACTTCATTTAATTTTGTAAATTCATTAATACTGTCATCTATATCACCTTCTTTTTGCTAAAGCTAAGTTATTACATGTTAAATTAAATTTTTTATTATTGTATTGTTAAGAGTTATTTATTTTATAGCTACTCTTTTTAATAATTCGGAATAAAATAGAACTAACTTTATAAATAAATCTAAGTTCATCTAATTAAACATTATTTAGTCTTCATTTTCTTCATTAATTTGCTTCAAAATAGCACCATTTTAATTAGCCATTAGGTCTATCATATCATTTAAAAAGCCTTTGTGAAAACTTTTTAACATTTCTAAGAGTTTAACCCTGTAGGTTCTTATAGTAAATTTATCTAAATCATAACTTTAATTCACTATACTTGATATTGATTCTTCTAGTTATTAATCTCTATTTATTTATTTTTTAAAAAAAGAATTAATTATATATCTATTATATTTTTTTTTTTACATTTAAAATTAATTATGTTGCCATTTTAATTACGAGAGCTTGTTATTTTCTTCAATTTAAGAAACATTCTATTAATCAAAAGTTTCGTTTGTAATAGTTTAATTTATATAAGTACTGTCGTCAATTGAATTATCAACTGAATTGTCATTACTTCTAATATTATTTTTATGAGATAAAGTAGAAACAGGGTTTTTTAAAAAATTAAGTTCTGAAATTACATAATCTAATGATTTATCAATAAAGGAAGAAGCTATATTTTTTTCAAGCCTTTATCTCGCAAGAAAGATATTCTCCTTAAATTTATTTAAAGCGGTTACTTTTTTGAATTTAGAATTATATTCGACTTCACTTTAAGAAAGTAAATCAACAGCAATAGAGTATTTATTTGTGTTTATAAGAGAGTTTATTGTAGGCATTGATTTATCAAGAATTTAGGTTAATTGTAATAAATTTAAAACATTTTATACATTTACTATTCTGCGTTTTAATTGGGCTATTCTGATGCCTTTATGAGTAAGTTTATTTTTGAGATTTTAATTAAAAATTTTTATATTTTATATTTTTTATAGACAATTAGCAATTAATTCTTGCATGGAATTCAGATTTAGTATAACTGCAAGAAATTCATTAAATTTATTGTTAATTTGGTAAAATAAATTTATTTCGACTTCGTCTAAATGCATTGTGAGATTATCTTGGAAGTCTATTACTTTCAATACATCTCGTTATAAACATTAAAAGTCGAAAATGAAATTAGAATCAAAATATATGCTTGGGACATCTTTATAGCAATCTAATAAAACTTAGTTCAAATTTATTAATTGTAAACTTTCTTAACTACTTTATTTATTAAATTTGTTACGAGTATATACCTGTAAATCAGGAGCTATTTTGAATTTGTAGTCATCAAACTCAGTTGAGTTTATTTATATTTTTTGCAATATATCCTTACTTAATCCCTTATATTAAGTTATTTGGTTTCTATTGAACATTCTCGAACTCTATTCTTCTATGTTTTTGTATAAAGATGTGTTATATATCATTGTTTTGAAGTCATCTATCATCTAAGATGTTTTACTTTGAGGATAATTCACTAAAGTTGATATATTTGATACACTTGAAAAACTTTCATTTATAAACATTTAATTTCCGTTTTCTGCATTACTTAATTTTCTTAAACTATTTGATAATTATTGGAAAGCCATTTTTTTTATTAATTTCTATTTTTTTTATTTTTTTAAGTTTTAATAGTGGTTATTTGTTGATTATTTCCTTTCTTATTATTTTTTTCTTTTTTATTTTGTTTATTTTTTATTTTTTTTTTAGAAAAAAAAACTTTTTTTTATTTAATATTTTTTTTTGTTTTAAATTATTTTATTTATATATAATATTTTTATTATATTATATTTTGTTTTCTTTCATTTAATAATTTTTTATTTCTTTATATTTTTAATAAAGATATTGATTAAGTCTTTTGCAAAATAAAATAATAGATTATCATTTAAGTACTAAATTAATATGTATTGAGAAAAATTATATATAAATATATTTAATCTTTATGGAAATATAATATATAGGGGTAAAGAAAATAACTAATAAATTAAAGAAATATAATTTTTGAAAAATAAATATATTTTTGTTTCTTTATTTTATACAAATTAATTTTAATAATAAAAAATTAAATTAAAGTAAAATTTTGTATAAATAAAATAAAATAGTAAATAATAAAGATAAAAAATATATTTTTCATACTAAAATGAATTAACTGAAAAAAATATGTTATTATTATTATAATTGAGAATTTAAATCAATGATAATTTTATAATATTTGACAATAAATAAATAAATGTATTAAAACATACCTATAGTTTAAAAAAATTATTATTAATTATAATAAATCGCTCGAAAAATATATTTATTTTTAAAAAGTGATAAATTAAATTCTTGTATTTTTTAAAAAAAAAAAAAAATTTAAAAATAATCTCTTCCTTAAAAAATAAATTATATATAAAAAAACTTTCATATAAAATATATGTAATTTATACCATCAAAAATAGCGCATGATTAGTATTTTGGGAATGAAAATAATGAAAAACTAATTTAGAGGGAGATAGCTTTTCAAAGAATACAGGGAGACGAAGACCCTAATACTTTTGATATATCTGAAGATGATGAATAGGAAGAATATTATTAATATAATCAAAACAAAAGCCATTAAATAAATATAATTATATTCAAATAAAAGAAAACATTCCTCAAAATCATACTACAAAAGGTTTGTCATAAATCCATTTAAAGTAAAGCTAAAAATCTATATGAAAATTTATCATATGGGAAGCAATAATAAAATAATTATTAAAACTAATATTAAGACATTTAAAAATTGAATTCTGCAGATAATAAAGAATTTAAACAAAAAGACAATATTTTTAACCGATTGAATAAAGAAGCAATAATTTAGAAAGAAAATAAGGAATAAATGGCTTAAAATTTAGAAAAAAAAGTAATGGAAAATTGCACTTTTGCCCCAAAAACATTTAAGAACTAAGAAATAAGAAGCCTTTAATAATTCCTTAGTGATTAAGAGAAATTTAAGAAATAATAAAATGATAAAGTAAATATGTTAAAATACTTAAAGAACGAAATGAATGAAAGCGAAAATACTTATGTGCCTAAAATAAATTAAAAAAGTGAAGAAATACTTCAGTCAAAACGTTCTGATTATTATTCTTAGCCAATTCATGATAGACTATTTAATATTTCTCATGCAAAAAAATAAAATTAATTACAAATTTAGGAAAATGTGAAAGAAATCATTTAAAAAAATTGCTGTCCGTAAATAAATGAAAAAAGCAAACTTTTATTAAGAAAAGGAGATGTAGGAAACAATTTATATTAAGACGCAATAAGAAGATAATAAAAATAACAAAATGAATAAAATAGTCTTAAACAAAAATCTTAAATGAGTAATAAAAGCTTTTTTAATTAAGGAAAAAACGAATAAATCGTCGCTCAAAAATTCGTTAGGGATTTCGAAGAAATATACGATGAAGTTGTTTTTGATAAAAAAGAAGAAAAAATTGATTATATTTAAATGGGTGAAATTCTTTCTAAAATGAACTTTTTGTAAAAATATCTTAATAATAATAATAATAATTTATCAGATAAAAATTCAGTGTATTTGCATTAAGAAAGAAAATTGATATATGATATATGGTATAATTTAAGAGGAAATGAATAGAATAGTATTTCTAAATGCAATCTATGTTAATTCTTGCTTATTGTGATAGGAATTTTCGGTTTTTAGCTTTAATCGGAAAATTAACAAAATTAATTATAAAATATATAGGAAGAAGATGAAAATATGAATAATTAATAAGATTTTTTTTCGAACAAATTGAATGAAGTTTTATCTAAACCAAGAATAGGCTATATTGATTAATTTGGAAATTGGATTGTTTCTTTATAAGAAGCTAAATTAGTTCAAAAAGAGTTTAATTTATTATATAGAAATAGGCTGAGTAGTGAAGCCTTGAAAAAAACAAATTTTAAATAAGAGTTTGATTATCAACCAGCGATCTTGCCGAAATCTAAAGTTATGGCAGATACTTATAGAGATAAATTGTTAGAGGAAACGGCTAATTTAATAGAAAATAATTAAATTAATGTTAAAGTACCTGCTAATGGAAAAATCACACATGTTGATCTGCTAATGTACTAAAAATAAGCTCAAATTAATACAAGATTATAAAAATAAGCTTGCTAAGATATTGCTATCTAGTAAAGTTGTTCATTTCATCCTTAATTAATAAATAAATAAAACATTAAAAGTAATGAGAATCTATTATAATCAGAAAGTATTTGCTCTTAATAAATTGGAGGAATGAAAAAAAGTTTAGAGTTATATTCAATTGCTAAAAATAAAAATAAACTTTAAAAAAAAGATAGGGATAAAGAAGAAATAGAATTCGAAAAAAATTGCGAAGAATGTACTTTTTAACCAGAATTAATTACAAAAAATACAAAAAAAAATAACAATTAAATATATATTACACCTAAATAGATTGACAAATCTATAGAAAGAATGAGATTAGGAAATAAATAAAGATAAGAAAAATAATAAATGTTTACAAGAGGTTATGGTAATAGTAATAGCATAAGTAATATTAAAAATTAGGAAAGCTAAAAGAATTTAAAGAATAAAGAAATATTCCAAAACGATTAATAAATACAAGAATAATTTGAAAAGCATCAATTACAATTACAAAAAGAATATGAATAATATTAATTTATGTAGTTATAATAATAATAATAATAATAATAATAATAATAATAATAATAATAATAATAATAAAATGATAATTATATCGATTATGATAATGATAATTAAAATGATAATGATAATTTTTTTTCACATCATTAATATGAATAAAATAGATCATTAAATTAATAAAGTAATTTTTTTATTTTTAATCTTTATTATTCAAAGAAAAAAATTAGAAAACTCATAAGAAAGAGTACCATTACTTTTTGTTGATGTTAACTTGGGTAAAGATAAAACTGAAAGAATTATCGTTTATGAAAATGATACTTCTGAATTACTTGCATAGAAATTTGCTTAAGAAAATTGTATATATAATATTATTTTTATTTACTTTAATCTTTTTTATTTTTTTTAAATTTAAATTTTTATTAGAACTTGATGATAGTATGAAATTAAGACTTAAAGATTTATTAGATAATTAAATTGCAAATTTATTGACTAAAATTGATGAAGAAGAGGCTCCTTCTGTAATGAGCGATTGAAAAATAAATTAAGTTTATCATATACTAAATTATAAAATATTTATTTTTATGAGAGATTAAATATAATAATCTTTTTTTATTTATATTTAGAAGTTTTTGTTATTTTTTTTGAAATAAATATTATTAATATTAATAATAATTATATTTTAATTTATATAATATATCCTTTTTATATTTTTATTTATAAAATAAAAAATGCTATTTTAAAAATATTTAGTTCATTAAAAATATAATCTTGCTTAATTGTATAAAAAAGGCAATTTATATTTTTCATAAATTTCTAATCCATATACTGCTATAAACCATACACTATTAAAATAAATTTATGTTTATAAGTAAAACAATAATTATTGTGGTAAAAAATAAAATAAAAATTAAAATTAAAAAATAAAAAATATAGGTTATTTAGTGCATGATACATAAAAAAATTAATTAATAAGTATAGATCCTGGAGAATATGAAAATGCAATAGAATATATAAAATAATTAGAGAATACATTAAATAGCAAATTAACTCATATTTTATGTACATAAACAAACGGCCCTATGAATTAATAAAGTGAATAATTTTTAAAACATAACCCTAAATTAGAAATAATTGCAGGAAAAGAATAAGAAAAATAAGGCTTTAGCAATAAATATGTAGAAGAGCTATAACCAATATCTATAGGTGATTTATGTGTATGTTTTTTGCATACACCTGGACATAAAAATGATTTTTATACGATTGAAATCACTTAAGTAAATGATTTTTCTACTAAATTACCTGCTTTATTTACAGGTGAAATGCTTTTAGTAAGGTATAAATATATTTTCTAAGATTAATATATATATATAGATACATATATATATATATAAATATATTTTTTTAAATATATATATATAATATATATATATATATATATATTTATTATTTTTCAGTTCCTTAGGAGATTTTGAAGAATTTAACGCATTAAAATTTGTTTAATCATTATTTAAATTAAAGGCTTTTCCTAATGAAAGTTTGGTTTTCCCAGGAAGAGATGGAGAATTAAAAAATTTAATTTTTTCTAAAGCTTTAGACCCTAATAATAATGTAATTAATTCTAAAATTTAATTAGTTTAAGAGGCTCTAAATAATTAATAAAACCATATCTTACCAAGCAGTTTAATTGAAGAAAAAAGCTGTAATCCCTATCTTAGAATTCATGAAAAATATATTTAAAATATATTAGAAGTTAAAGATTAAATATCAGCTTTTAAAGCTATCAAAAAATTGTAATAAGTTTTCTTTTAATAAAATAATAATCTTTGATTAATATTTGATTTATTATATATTTAGATTAGTTTTGTTTAAATAATTTTTTATTTTTAATTAATTAATTTTAATCTATTATTTTTATTATTTATATTTTTTTTTTTTATTAAGTTATATCATATTTTTTAGATATTTAATAATAAGATAAATTTTATAAATCTTAAAAAATAATTTATTGATATAATGAACTAGATTTTATATTTTAATTTATCAAATTAATTTTAAAATATGATTAATTTTACATATATTAGAAAAAGCTTTTAAATGAAGTCATATAAATAATATAATATATGAAACATAGAATAAACTTATAAAAAAATTTTATAAAATATCAGAATGATTAGAGTAAATTTTAGAAAATCAAGTCTTTTTCTATTTATAATTTGAAAAATTATTAAATTTATAAAAAATAAATATTATTATATTTTTTTATATTTATTAAAGTTAATGAATATCATAATTTTTTTTTAAATAGATATTTTTTTTCAATACAATTCACTAATTTTAAAGTGAAAAAATAATTAAATAGCAGATTTTTAATATTATAATTAATTGTAATTAAATAATTGATTAATTTATATCAATGATGTGATTCCAATATTTACAATATATTATTTTCAAATAAAACTTATTCTAAGCTTTATTTACTTACAGGTTTACTTAAATAATAATCAAATCCTTGATTAAAACATTCTTTTTCAGTTTCAGGATCATTGTAAGCAGTATATGCAATTATTTTAGTTTGACTTTAACTATTTACTTACATTTAGAGTATATTTCTTATTTTTTAAGTGGCAGCCATTCCATCCATAATAGGCATATTAATATCCATAAAAATTAATTTTAATTTACCTTAATAAATTAAAAATTAAGAAACTCCTTCCATACCATTATATGCATGAACTATATTTTCTAAAGGAAAATTAAATACTTTATTTAAAAATATTTGTAAACTATTATGATTAGTTTATGTATCATCTACAATTAAAATATAGGGAATATCATTATATTGGTTAAGTACATAAATTGATTTAGTTATTTTTTTTGTGCTCCTTACTTTCTGAATTTCCTAAATATCATCATCAGATGATTAAATATTACAAATTTCTTAATTATCAAGATCTATAGATATTTAAGGACCAAAAAGAGATATTTATTAAATATTGCTTAATTATGTTTTGGATTATTATCTAAATGCTTATATTTACTATATTTAATTATTTTCATTTACAAATGAAAGCTATTTATCAAATTCTCGTAATTTTTTTTTTACAGTATTTATTATTTCTTTGTTTTCTTAATCCAAATTGATACTTCCTTTTTCAGATGCTTTTATTTGTAATTAACTTAATAAAAGCTACTTTATTTATGTATTTCTTTTTGATTTTTATTTGTTAGGTGAATTACTTTATATCTAAATATATTCATTATCATTAATATTTATTATTGTTGGATTATTAATGGAATTACTTTATAAATTATTTTATTCTATATAACTAATTGAAAAATAAAAAAAACAGCCTTTTTATTTTTCTGAATTAAAATTTAGTCCTTACTATTTATTATTTGCATTATCTGATTTGTTTAATTTTTAAATTAAAATATTACTCACTGATAGACCAAATCCGTATCCTGAAGAATTTTTGGATATTCTTTCTTCTGTAAATCCTTCTTTTAGTAAATATTATAATCTTTCTTTTTCTTTTTTAGTCATTCCTATTCCTTAATCTTGAATACTAAAAATAATTTAACCGTTTTTTTATTCTAGAAATGTTTATATCGAAGAATTTTAAGGAGAAAACTTTAAAGAATTTGAAATTAAGTTTACAAGAATTTGTTAAAATTTAGTTTTATCAATATATATAATTTAAGGAATTTTATTTTTTACTATATTTTAGATTTATATTTATTTATCATTTGCTTATTTTATAAATAAATTTATTGTTTCTTGCACAAGTTAAATTATATTTACTTCTACATTTTTGATTTTTAATTTATTATTTAAAATATCTTAATAATCTCTAAAATCTTAAACAAGGAAATTAATTAAATCAACACTAGAAATACATTAGTCTAAATAATCCCCTTTATTATTTTATAAAAAATAATTAAAAATGTAAATTACTTTTTATTTCCTAAGGTATTGTATCTTCATACATACATGCCTATAAAGAACTATTAAGTATATTTAAATAAGTTCCAAGTTCATGGGATATAGTTTAAAGCATTCTTTATTAAATTTATTTTGCTACTTATTATTTTTAATATTTTTATGTTTATTAGATGCTTTCTATTGATAATATTACTTATTTATTTTCTTAAATAATAATTTTAATAAAATTTAAATCGGATAATAGATTTATATTCTAAAATTTATAATTTTCAATTTCAAACATTAAACCATCTTAATTTTAATTACATGAACTTAGGTTTTCTTATACTTTAAAAAAATAATTAAATAAAATACAAATAAAATTATTTACTTTATTATAAAAATTGTAATAAATTTAATTATTTTTCTTAATTTTATTCTTCTAATTATTAATTATCTTTACTTATTTTTATTATGCTTTAAATATTTACTGAATTTCTAGTTTAATTTCCTCCTATCATAAATTAAGAATCACTCACTTGCATAGAATTAAAATTAACTTTTAACAAATTTTCTTAACACTTTTTACTAAAGCTTTTGATATTAATATTACTTAATATATCATTAAAGTTCATAAACTCATTCTAATTTAATATTTAATTAGCTTTTTTATTTAAAAAGCTTATTTGTTATGTTTCTAATATGAATACAAATATTGCTTATTCTAAATTGTTTAAAATATTTGTATGGTCAAATTATTTATTTTCTACCTTATCTTATAGCATTAATTAATTATTGCTTTTTACTATTTTATCCTAATTAGATTATTATAGGACTTTCTTTTATTATTTCTTAAATTATTATATTGATTCATTATATTTATATTAATTTTTTATTTTTGAGCATTCGTCTTTTAAAGTTTATTCGCTTATCTTTTTTATTTGTTGCGCATTTATTGGTGCTTATTCTTAAAAAGATTCTCTATTATATATTTATTTTCGAAATTCTAATTATTAATTAAAGTTATTTATAATATCAACTTATTTTTGAAATTCATTTATAAAAGTCTATATAAACCATAATAAAACAAATTAATATATTATACTAATAATTAAAAATAATATATCAAATATTTAATCAAAATTCAGTTAAATAATTGTAGCAAATATAATAAAATAGCTAAACATAAAGTTTAAAAGTATCATAAGTATTCCATCCAGAATTAAAATAAATGATATTACTTCAGAAACATACATAACAAAAAGAAAAATTATTGGATTAAAATAGCCTATTTTATACGTAAAATTTAATATTGATAATGAATAAAAGATGAACCATAATTAAAATAATATCATATACTCTATTTTCAAATAAGAAGCTTTTAAGTGTTTTAATTAAATATTTTTAAAATATTATGCAATCTTATTTATTATAAAGAATAAAAAGTTTAATACTAAATACTTAATTTCAATATGTTATTTATTTCGAAATTGAGTTTAGTAAAATATTATGGCTTTAAAAGTAAAAATATATAAATAAAATTAATAGATTTATAGTTTTGCTTTACTGAATATTTATTATAAAATAAATAAAAATAATTAAAAAATAATAAAATGCTATCTATTATTAAGAATCATTATTATGTTGTTTAAATTTAATACTACTTATATTATTTGAAATCTTCTTAAGTACTATTACAAAATTATAAATAAAAAATTAATTTCTTTTAATTTAAATTTATTATAAAATTAAAAATAATTTAATAAAAAATGAATTTAATAATTTATGCTTATATATAAATTATATTTTTTTTTATTTGAAATATTTAAGATTAAAATAATTTTTTCTAATTTTCTATATAAAAAATAAAAATAAAAAAAATAATATTTATATAATTTATATAATTAAAAATTAAATTTTATTTATATTATATATTTTTTTTTTATTATACATTAAAATTAATATAAAAATTCAGACAAATATTTTTGAAATTATGTATATATATATTAATAATATAATTTATTTTATATTAAAAAATATATTTTAAAAAGTATTTTTGCTATTTATTTTAAAAAGCTAATCTTCATAATTGCTTTTATATTTCTATCTTTTTTAACATATCATCATGCTATCTATTAAAATTATCTAAATCTTTTTAAGCTTAAAAATAAAGATTTTTATAATAATCTTTTTCTTATAAAGCTTATAAGATTTAATCATTTAGAAAATTATCTTAATTAATATTTTATTCAAACAAAGCAGTTTATTATGAACACTATAAAAAACTAGATCTTTTATTTATTAAAGGTTTAGCCTTCTAAGAACTTTTTATATTAAAATTTGATAAATTAGATTCTAATTAAATCAAATTATTTATCTTTGTCGATTAATTAGATGATCTTAGATTCATTTTTTTATTATTTATTTAACTTTATTAAATATAAATAGAAATTCCTTATTTTTTTTAACTTTTGAATTCTTAATATTTTTGCAATTATTTATTGTATTAACTTTCTTCTTTAGGCTAAATATTTTATGTTTAAGTTTATTTATTTTCTATAAAATTATTAGAAATATTTTAAATTTAAAAATTGGATAACAAAGAAGTCTTAAAATCATTAAAACCAATTCGATTTTATTATAATTCGTTCATATAAGATTAGAATTTATGATAAAATTAAATTTCTTATTATATATTTATATAAAGCTCTTGATTTTAAACTTCAAGATTATTTGTATAAGAATTAATCATATTTTTATATTAATCATAAGAGCTCTACATATTGTTTAAAAAAAAAATCAATTAGTCTTCATTTTCTTTATAATTTTCTTACTATTATAAATGTTATTTTAATTGCTATTTTAAATCTTATTGGTTTTATAAGAAAAGTTTTAATTATTTTTCTTCTTTTTATTCTATTACTAATAATAATTATTAATTACAATTACTTTCCATTATTTATTAGTTTAATATTTAGTCCGAATTTTACTTTTTTTATTTTTATAATTCATTCATTTTATTTTCACGAAATTATTATAATGTTAAATTCAAAACTTCTGTTTTAAAATAATAAAATTCAGATGGAAATTTTACTTATTCATTTACTAAATTCGAATAAACTTTATAAAAACAAGAACCTTATTACATCCATTAAGCCCAAACGTATATACATTCCAAAACTATTCTTAAAAAGGAATTTCCTATTATAACTAAATTTTAATCATCTGTTTCTTTTTCAATAAAATATTCTTTACCTCTATCATCTTTATGTATTTCTTTTTTAAATATAGCTATTCTATTCATTATCGGCAATATTTTCTATCCAACTAATTCTATAAAATTATTATTATTTTAAAGTTCAAAACATTCTTTCAATAAACGAATTGCATTTAATTATATTATAGCTGAAAAACTATTTTTTTATTCAATTATATTTTTGATTGTATCAACTAATAAAAACACTATATTCTAATTATTATTAATAACACCTTTTTTATATATTCTTGATTCTTGCTTATATTAATCTTAGTTTGAAAGAAAATTTATAATTTCTTATTAGGACATTATCTTTTTTTTACTTTTTAGCTTTAAACTTTTTTTTGTTTGTGAATAAAAATAGTTATATTTTTATTAATATAAATTTAATGTTATTTATCTATAATGTTTAATTTTAAAAAAATAATTATATTAATATAAGATTTAGTATATTTAAATAATTTTATGTTATTTTATAAAATATTTAAAATAAACAAAATAATTAAATCTTTTTTAAAAATTAATATTTAAACGGTTCTTAAATAAACTTTACATAAGTTTTTTATATTAAAATAACATTTATAAAGATATTCATTTTTCGAAATATATGCAATAATTTAACTTTTGTTTTAATCAAAAATAAGATTTTTATTATTCTGTTTATATCATTTTTAGCATATGAAGATATGTTACAATTTATTTTTAAAGTAGTAAGATATATATAATAGTATTATTATTATATATTTTATAAAGAGTTTTAATTTTAAATATATTTTTAATAATTTTAATTAAATTAATATATATAATTATTTTAATACTTTTTAATTTTAATGGATTTATAAATTTTATAATCAAATACAAAGCAAAATAAAAATTAGGAAAATTAAAATAAACAATATATTTTTGATTAAGAAAAAATAATATAATTAGGAGTTTAGTTAACTAAAATTATAGATTTTCCTGAAAAGCAATAAAGTCTTTTAAAAATGTTTTAATCTGAAATGTTTACAACTTAAATGTTGATTGAGTATTTATTTAAGAAATTTTTTTAAGAATAAATACATGAATATTTAGTGAATAAATTATACACTTTAAGTCATAAAGATTTAGATTTTTATTTAACATAAATAATGTAATTTTACTTATTTTTTAAAAAAAAATATTTAATTTTAAATGTTATAATTAAAAATTAAAAGATATTTAACAATTATAAAATAATCAAGTAAATTAGACAAGTTTTTGTGTGATTTATCTAAGCAAAATATATTGTTTTATTATAAAGTAAATCTTTATTTCATATACTTTGTAATTGTATTTGTTTAATATTAAATAATTTTAAAATAATCAGACAGCTTGGATAATTTAAGCTTATAGTGAGTGTTGTAAATTATATACAAATGAAGCTTGGAAAATATAAATAAAGAAATTTTAAAGAGTAAAAAAATATAATCATAATTTATATATAATAAATTAAAAAAGTAAATTGAAGGAGAAATGGTAAATAGCGCAGTATCTGATTTATTTTTAAAATAAGCTTAAAATGATTAAATGACAGAATAAAATACTTAAAGTTATTATTTATAATTTTAAACAGCATTTTAATTATATTCTAATTTTTTCTTTTAAAAAAAAGTTTTAATAGAAAAATTTAAAGATAAAGAGCATAGATCAAATTATAATAACTAGCTTTATAAGTTTATTAGCAGCTTAACTAAATTATCAATTCATCTTAAAACATATTAAGAAAACGAAAGACTTTAACATTTAAGAGAATATATCATAAAAATGAACAATCATTTATAATAAAACAGAATAAATAATAAGTAATTATTATATAACTTTTTTTTCATTTATAAATTAATAAGGGGAGTCATTTATTATTAAGGAATATTGATTCCATTTGAAATTGATGACTCATAAAATTATCATTCAAATACAGTATTATATGTATTTTATATTAATTTTAAACATTATAAAAAAGCTTGTAAGAATAGCCGAAGATTATTTTGTTTGTTTTAATACAAAGAAAAGAGCTCCTTATAAAATAGTAATTGAAACAATAGAGTAATATTCTAATCTAATAAAAAAAAATATATATATAAAATATAAATTTTTTATTTTTATAATTATAAAAAATTGATAAATTTTATAATTTTTGACAAAATATATTTAAATAAAAACAATAGTTTAAACGAAATAAAAGAGAACATTGACTTTTTTGAAAAGTTGAATAAGAAACAAACTTTTGACCAAAATAATCAAGATTTTATTGATTAATTAAACGAAATAAAATATTAGTTTGATTCAAATGAAGAAAAAAAGGAAAAATATAAAGGATTTGCAAAATGGGCTAAACTAAAAAAAAAAGAAATCGAACGTAAGTAAAAAAAAGGAATAATAGAAAGAATTTTAGCTAGAAAATAAAGCTTTGTTCATTATTCACTTGATAAACTAGATAAGTTAGTTTTATAAGAATAAGAAATAATAGAATATAATAAAGAGAAAAGAGCTTCTATAATAATACATAATTCAATAAAAGAATAGGAACGCTTAGATAAATATGATATAAATATAAGCATTTTTAATAAAAAATTTCCAAAAAAAAATATTTAAAGAAGATAAAGTATAAGTTACTTTACTAATAAAAAATATTTTGCTTTGGAATCAAAAAAAAAAACTCATATTAATATAAATGATTTAAAAATAAAGAATGTAATTGATTTTTTCAGATTTCTTAAATAAGATTATGGGCAAAAATTTTAAACAATAAACAAAATTTATAAACATTTACATTATGATATTATAGAAAAAACTGTTTATTAGAAAGATTCAAATAAAAATATTAAAGAGATTGAATTTCCAAGAACTTTTGAACCCTGGGGTGAACTTTGGGAAGATTAATAATAAATAATTAGAGAAAGTTCACCTTTTAGCTTTATGAAAAGTTACAAAATAAGACCTATTATTGTTAAAGGAGGAGATGATTTAAGATAAGAATATATTGCTATGTAATTAATATAAAAGTTTAGTGAAATATTCAAAAATGCAAATATTCCTCTTTACCTAAGGCCTTACGAAATTATTGTAACTTCTCCAAATTCAGGCTTTATTGAATTTTTGCCTAATACACTAAGCCTAGATTATATTAAGAAGCATGTGCCTAATTATAATTCTTTAAATGATTTTTATTAAATAACTTTTGGTGATTATTTTGAAGAAGCTTAAAAGAATTTTGTCGAAAGTCTTGCTGGGTATTCACTTATATGCTATTTATTGCAAATTAAAGATAGACATAATGGAAATATTTTAATTGACAATGTTGGTCATATCATTCATATTGATTTCGGATTCATTTTTTCTATTGCTCCCGGAGGTATTAAATTTGAAACTGCAAATTTTAAACTTACGAATGTACTTATTTTCATATCTTTTATTTTAAATTTTTTTATTATTTTAATTTTAAATTAGGAATATGTTAGTTTAATGGGAGGTAGAAATTCTGATTAATTTGGATATTTTAAAAGTCTGATGGTTAGAGGATTTATTGAGATTAAAAAACATATAAATACTTTTGTTTGTCTATTATAAATTATGATGGAGTAAACTAATATGTAATGCTTTGTTGATTTTGATTTAGCTACTTTTAGAGATAGATTTAAAGAAAACTCTACTGATTAAGGGGTAAATACATATACATACTTAAACACTATTTATACGTTTTTAAAAATAAATAAAAAAAAGTTTATCGATTATGTGGATAGATTAATTGATCAAAGTTGTGAAAAATGGAGTACTTATTAATATGATAAATATTAATAGATGACAAATGGAATTTTCATTTGAACTATATTTTTTTAGCAAAAATATTATATAATAAATATATTAAATTGTGGTTTTTAATAGTTTTAAAAAATAATGTTTTTATATAAAAAAAATATTATGTGATTTTATTTTATAAATAAAAATTAGAAAATTTTATACGATATTAAATTATTTTATTATATTTATTAAATATTTAAATTTAATTTAATTTTTTAATTAATTTTATATCTTTTCAGAATATCAATTTATTTAAGAATTCTAATTTTAATTATTTCTATTGTTTTTTCTATTTTTATATTTATAAGTGAATAAAGGCACTAAATGTTTCTCGAAAAAAACGCTAATAACGTAATTAGCTAAACTGAATACTAAAAAAATAATAGTCCAATATTAAGGCATTTTTTTTGCTATTTAACCATTTTAATATTTTACTTCAGTAAATATCTTTTTTTTTTATAAAAAAAAATATAAAATAAATAAAAAATTTATTTATTTAACATCAAGGTAATCTATAGTTTATTAATCTGGAATTACTTGTATGTATAAAGAAATTATTAATATTGCTATTAGAGAACCTGTGAAATATTTATTAGTATAAAAAGGTTTTTTAAAAGGTTTTCCAATAGAAAAAGCTAAGCAAGAAATTATATACTAGAAATTATTGGTATAGAAAAGAATCTAAAAATAAATAAATAAAGTAGTAATATTTAAATTAAAATAATAATAGATACACTAGATTCATAACATATTTTTCTTATATCTTCTTTATTATCATCTTTCATATCGTTTTAATAGTTAACTCCATGTATATCAATCATTGGAAGATACCAACTTTAAGCTTAAATAATAAATAAAATAATTGTCTTTTAAATAAAAAAAAATAAGAATTAGTAAAAAGATGCATAAAAAAACGAAAAAATACCTAGAATATTGCAAAAATAACGCTCTATCCAATAACAGAAAATAAAACTTAAAAAGATACTAAACTAGACCCTGGAACTTACTTTGACAAAACCGGATAAGCTTCTGTAAGTCCCATAAGAAAGGCCAAAGGAAGTATAATGAATACATCCCAATACAAAAATTATAGATCTGCAGGCAAAGATCCTACAGTAAATAATAAAGTAGTACAAACAAATTAAATCATAGAATATAAAGCCATAAACTTAAAGCAAGAAAAACTTGTAACCAACGCTGCTCTTCCTTCAATCAATACCTATATTATACAACTAATATCTTGTATTTTAGAAGTAAATGGTGCAGCAATAGAAGCCTCAGCATCTGAAAGGGAAACTCCAATATCAGCAGTTTTTAAAGCCCCGCAATCATTAGCACCATCTCCACACATTCCACAAGTGGGCTTATGTGGAAGGTTTTATAAAGATTGGAGTAGCTAAGCTTTTTCTTCGGGCTTCATTCTGGCGAAAATTTAAGTTCGATTTAACATTTCTCTAAATAATTATTATTATTTTTTATTATCCGAAATCGACTAGTTATACATTTTGGAAAAAGCCCTCCCAGTAATTGCCAGAGTAAAATTTTCTAAATTAACCCAAGGAATATTGATGTCTTCGGCATCTGATTGGCTATAAATCTCAATATTTTCTTTACTTTCGACCATTTAATGATATAAGCTTTCTCTTTTGCTAATGTTTCGCATTATATCAAAACTTTTGCTGCGGTCTTAGTCATTTACTTTGTATCTTTCACGCACTTGATTTATGGATATTTTCTTGTTATATTCGGATAGTTTTTTGTTATTATCAATTTATTTTATACATTCTAAAAGTTCTTTTTCTTACTTTATTTCTTCCACACCTTCTTCTTCTTGGTAGGGCTCTATGCCTCCAACTGGCTCTAAATTCTCTTTATTTAAAATTTTCTCAGAATGATCGAAGTCTTTCCAGATTATTTAGTCTGTTTCATCCTATAAATCTCCAAAATAAACCCTTGCTTTTTCATGTATTATATTACATTATCTACCTACACTTATAGCTGTTAAAGGATTATCTCCAGTGACCATAATAGTACGAATATTGGCTTATTAAAGCTCATTGATGATTTAGCTAGTGATTTCTTTTAGTTTGTTTTCCATAATAATTAATCCTACAAAAGTCAGGTCTTTTTCTATTTCATCCCTTTCTACTTTTTATATTTATCTGTAATTTAATTTGAGAGTTCTAACTCCGAAACCGAGTACTCTGAAACCTTTAGTAGCATAAAAATCAAGGACATTATGAAAACTGTCAGGAATAGTATCTTTTTTACAAAGTTCATAAATTTTTTCAGGAGAACCTTTTACGTATAGTCTATATTAATTCTAAAGAGGATTTTAGAGACTTTTAACTATTGTGCTCATTCTTTATAATTTAGACGAAAACTCGAATCTTTTTAAAATTCCAACTGATTCATTATTACTATCCAATTTATTATTTTTACTCTATACTTAAGCCAATATCAAATCATCGAATTTCATTCCTTCTTGACTTTCAATTAGCTCCCAACCGGTAAATTCGAACATTTTTACCTCTAAAGGGTCCCCGATTATATTTCCTTAGACTCGGGTTAAACCATGGCAACTTGACATGCATTCTTTTAGTATCATTTCGGGATCTCCTATTGGGTATTTTTCGTTTTAATCTTTTTTTTTTATCTCAGCTAATTTATCGCAAGATGATTTTAGGTCTGTAAAATGAACTTTTTTTGTTTTTTAGTTCCATTAAACTGAACGGACTCCATACATGTCTAGTCCTTCTTCAGTTAAAGTTCCTATATTTTTATTTTTTAATTAAAATATCTTTATATTTAAAAAAACCTGTTTTGTCAAAACACATGATTGTAACTTTTCCACTAATATTAACTTTTGGTGGGGAAATACAAAATATTTTTTTCTTTTTCAATCTATGTAATGCACAACTAATACCAATCTATAAACAAGTAGGAAGAGCTGGAGGCACAGTAATAGTAATGAGATCAAAACTGTTCAAAATAATATCTTTTAAAGCAATATAATCTTACTTATATCCTTCAATTTGATAATATAAAGACACCAGGAATCCTAAAACAGCCAAAATAGCTAATACAGCAATAAACTTTAAAGAATCTACATAAAATTAGAAAGAGTTTTATTTTGGATATAAAATAGATCTCACTAACTATCCTTTCATTGTGTTAAAACTAGTTTACATAACAAGGCCTAAAACAGGTAGTTTTCCTTTTAAGTAATATCGGGTTTCTATACATTTGGTTCCAGCGAAAATAGTACTTTGCTTACCTTCTGAATCTGGGTTGTATTTATTATTGTTATAAGGTAATGATTATTTTATTATAGGAATTGATTCTCCAGTTAACATCGATTCATTTATTACAGCAGAACCATTTAACATTATTAAATCACATGGCATTATTTAGCCGTCGGGTATTTCCATTATGTCCCCAGGAACTAATTCTAAAGAACTTATGGTTTGTTTTTTGGATTTTATGTTTTCTGATATTGATAATTATCCATCTTACTTTTTTTTATTTATTTTTATTTAAATTAATTTTTTTTTTCTTTACTTATGATATAAAATCATGTATTTCTCTATAAATTGTAACTTTGGTTTAAAAAAAACTCATTTTTTGTAATTTTATATAATTTTTTTTTGTTTCTATTAATCCTAAAGCTGCAGAAATTACAGAAGTTAATAAAATAACTGATGCATAAAAATAATAAGGCTCTAAAATCCATAAAATAACACTGAAAATCTAAAACATATAGAAAGGAGATAAAACCTCATCTATAAGTATTTTAATTGATGATTTAGTTGGAATTTCTGTATTATTTTGCCCAAAAAGGGCTTTAAGTTGTGAAAATTATTGCTAATCTTGTATACCTTTACCATATTTGGCATGAATTTCATTATTTGTATATTATGTCAAGTCAAATTATATTGGTTTAAATATATTTTGATTTATATCAAAATAATAATTATATAATCTATATGTAAATACCTTTTAGTTATTATTATTAAAATATGTATATACATATTTTATTTTACTAAATAATTTTTTTCCTCATTTTGTTCTATTTTTAACATTTTTATTGATGTTTGTTCTAATGTTTCTATATTATCACCTGAAATAATTTTTAAATAATTGCTTTCTTACACTTTACATTAGGTCATTTAAAGAAATAACTTTAAAGATATAAACCATCTAGTGAATAAATACAATATTCCTCCTGTTATTATATATAGAAAGTAACTAAATACTAATTTAATTTTAGATATTTTATAAGATTTAATTTATTTTATTATTCCTTCCTCTTAAACATTTATTGGTAAGATAAAATTAATTATGTCTTTTTCATCTTTATGTAATAAAAATTACCGATACATATTTTTACTTATTAAATAATAGCTTTTAATAATATATAAATATATTTTTAAAATTTTTTTTATAGTAATGTTTTTTAATATAAATTGTAATATAATAAAAATTTAAAATGATATTTAATTAAAAAATCAATATATTTTTATTTCTATTAAATTAAATTATAAAAATATAAAATTATTTTTTTAATATAAAGCATTTTCACATAAAAGTTATTAAAAATCTGAAATCATAAAAAATAAATAGTATTTTTTCATCTAATATAAAATTTAATAGAAATAATACATTTATATGTTTATAAATTCTATAATTAGAATTATTTTTTTTATTAATATATATAAATAAGGGTAAGATATTATTTTATTTCATTATTTTTCAGCGGAATAGCGATTAATTACTATAAGCGAATTTCTTTTAACTTCATCAAGTTGTCTTTCCTTTTCATGAGCATTATGTCTTAAAGATTCGATTTCAATAAAAAGAGTAAAACAAAGCATATGTAAATCAGTAATTTTTATATTAAGTTCATTAATATTAACTAGCGATTATTTAATTTATTAATTTTTTTATTTCAGTTGAGTAATTAATTTCTTTAATTTTGCAATTTCATTAGTATAGTTTTGAGTATTTTTTTCATTAGTTCTATTAACTACTAATTATTATTTTTCTAAAACACTACATCTGATTAATAATTCTTAGATTTCTTAATTTTATTCTTATAAAAGGTTATGTTATCTATTTATTTCGTTTGCAAGAATTTCAATATTATCAGTAAGTTTATCATTTTCTTCAGTTTTATTTACAAGAATTTAATTCAAGTTCTCAATTTCTTTTGCTAATTAAAGTATTTTATTTTCATATTCCTTAGTCTTTTATTCTAATAGTTTTATCTATTGTTATTATTATTATTTAAACAATTACATTTTGGCATCTTCTTCTTAAAAGGCTTAATTGAGTTATTCAATTTGTTAATCTTATTAATTAGATTTAATTTGATAGTTTTTCAAATTATTAATTTGTTTTTAGAGTTATTTTATCTCTTCTTATAGACCTTTGTATATATATATATATATATTTTTAATATAAATATTTGTTAAATAATACCATTTATTTAAGTAGACTTTTATTATAACATATCTTTTAAACCTTAAATTTCTGAATTTTTTATAGTTATTTCCCCATCTAATTCTTTCATTTAAGCTTCTAATTAAAGCTTTTAGAAAGCTTCTTTTTCCAATTGACTAATTTAGCTTCTATATTCATTTGCTCCTAATAATTAATTGTTTGTAACTTAATTTAAATTACCAATTTATTGCATTAGATTCTCAATTTTATTTTCTTGTTATCTACATAAATCTTTATATTTAACCAAGTCTTCTATTAATTTTTCTTGTTTAGCACATGTATTTTTCCATTCATCTAAGTTTTATAAGAACGTTTGTAGTTGATTTTCTTTGTTTTATAAAGTTTATTCTAATTTCTTTAAACTAGAAACTTAGTATTCTAATTATTATTAAATTAATAGTTGTTTTTCTAGTTATGAATTTTTTAAGTTTAAGGCTTCTTTTTATTTTAAGTTTACTTTTTATAATTATTCATATTTATCATTTAGTTATTTTGTTTTAGTTTCATTTTAACTATTAATATCTTTCAAACTATTTTTTTTTTAAAAAAAAAATTATTAATTTTTTTTTTTTTTTTTACGAATTTTTTAATTGGTCTAATTATATTTCTTTTTCTTAGTCTCCATTTTTTAGCTCTTAAATTAAATTTTCTAAATTTCTCTTTTCTTTTTATAATTAGTTTTATATTTCTTTTAATTCATTATCTTTTTGATGGGTAACATCATTTAGGCTTTTTTTTAAATATTTTTTTTTTTTTTTTTAAATATTTTTTTTTTTTTTTTTAAATATTTTTTTTATTATTTTATTAATATACTTTCTTCTTAATTAGTTTATATCATTATCTTTTTACTAAATTTATTATTTTAATTATTAACATTAGATTTCATACTGCTTTATTTTTTCTAAAGACATATTTTCTAATTCATTTATTTTTTAATCTTTAGTTAAATTATTATCATTTAATCTTATTTTTTTTGTTTAAATATTTTATATTCAAAAAAAAATATATATTTACATTCTTTTTAATTAGTTTAATTCATTGTCTTTTTGACTTATAATCTATTTTAATTTCTATGTTTCACCTTCATATAATATATTATTATTTTCTTATTAAAATTATAATTCTTTTAATTAATTTTCTTTTTCTTGAATACTATCATTCAAACTTTAAAAATAAAATTTTATTTTATATTTTATAATATATTTAAATATTATTATTATTATTATTATTTTTACATTCTTTTTGATTTATTTAACTCTTTATCTTTCACAGTTATATCTTTAGCTAATTAATCACATAGATTATTTAATCTATTGTTTTCTTCAGATAAGCTTTTTAAATCATTTTCATATTAATCATTAAGACGATTTGCATCGTTTAAGCTTTTTTTAAGTTAAAAAATGTTATATTAAAAAAATATAATTAAAATTTACTTAGCTTTTATATAATTTAATTATTATTATTTTTCAACTAGACTTTGAGTTAGTTCTTATAAGTTATTTTCCTATTATTATATTTAATCATTCACTATTTCTAGTTAATTCGATAATTATTCTTTTTATCTATTAACTTCACTTAATCTATTTTTTTAAAATAATATTATATATATTATTAATTTTTATTTATTACTAATTTTTGACTTGGTTATATTTTCCTTATTATTCGTCTAAAATTTAATTTAATCTTTGATTTTAATTTTATATTTCATTTATTTTATCATTTTAGGTTAATAAATCTTTATTTATTTATTCATTGATCTTGTTAGCATCATTCAAACTTATTTTTTTATTTTTTTTTATAAATTTGCAATTAATTTTAAGTTAATATTACTTTCTTCTGAATTAGTTGATACTATCGTCTTTTTATTATAATTCTTATAGATATTATTTTGATTAATTTTAGAATTATTAATCTTTTTCATCAAATATATTTTATAAATCTTTAATTCTTTGTTCTTTTAACATAATAGTGTCATTAAGTCTAATTTATATTTTAAGTAAAATTTAATTTTAAAATTTACTTTTTCTTAAAGTTTTCTATTTTATCCTCTTTTTCAGTCAATTATTGATTTAATAAACTAATAATATTTTCATGTTCAATACTTTTTTCAGACTATTATTATAATAAATCTTTAAGTTTTTATTCTTTCTTTTGATTTCTATAAATTTATATTTTTTATATTTAAATTTTTATTTATATTTACGATTTATTCAGTTTATTAATTTCATTTTAGTTTTCAATTAATTATTGATTAAGTGTTTACAAATTCGCTTCATACATTTATTAATTATTTTGTTAAACAATTTCTAATTCTTTAATTTTTGCTTTTTTCTCTTTAATTAAATCTTTAATACTTTTATTTTATATGGTTATATTTGTTTATGATTTTTTTAATAAAAATATAGTTTACTTTTATTTCAATTGATTTATTTAATCTTCATTTTAATTATTTTAATGTTTGAGTTATTGATTTTGTATTTCTAATTGATTTTTTTCTTCTTAAATGCTTTAAAGCTCATTTGCAATTAAATCTTTTTAAAGATTAAGTTCATTCATTCTATTTTTTATATATTATTAAAAAATATAAAATATATTTTATACGCTAATTTCAATTTCTAAAGCTCTGCTTCCTTTAAGAATACAGACTAATTCATTTATTGAAGATTATTTTCATATTATTTTAAATTATTATTAATTTCTAATTACAAATCTTTAATTTATATATCTTTTTGAATAATATTTTCTTATAATCTTTTGTTTTTATTGAAAAAAATAAACTAAATAAAAAAAAAATACTATTTAGAAAGTTATTCAATTTATGCGTCTTTTTCAATTATGTTTTATTTTAAATCTTAAATTTATGCTTATTGTTATTAAGATTATTATTTTTAATTTTATAAATCATAAAATAATTATTCTTTCTATTTATTAAATTCATTCTAACTAAAAAAAATGTTATTTTGTTAATAAAAAAATACATATAATTATTAATTTTACTTTTTTTTCATTTATCCATTTATCTCATCTTTTTCTTGTAGCATCTAGTTCAATTTCAAAATTTATTTATCTTATTCTTTATGTTATTTTTAATGTTTTAATTCGTCATCATTAATCCTAGATTCGTATTAAATACTTTAGTCATTTAAACTATTTATTTTATAAAAATATAATTAAATAAAGAGATTATTTTATTTATATATATAAAAAAAATACTTTTATTATAATTATCTTATCTAATCATCCTTTAAAGTGTTATTTAATCTTAATTCTTAGGATAATTTATCTAAGTTTTTAATTTATTCTTATAAATTCTAAATTTAATTAGACAAAAGGCTTTTTGAATAATTAGCCTCATTATTACTTTTTATTAAAATAATTAAAATAAAATTAAAATTTTTACCATTATTTTATTTTATTTATTTCTTCTTCTTTATTTTGATTATCTTATTCTAACTATTTAATCTGTTTTTCAAGTTAATTCTGTTATTTTTAATATAATATTTCCAAATCTCTAATTTATTCATCTTTTAATTATTCTAATTCTTTTAAACTTTTTTATTTTAAAAAAAAAAAATTATATTATTTTTATTTTTATTTTTATTTTAATTTACTTTTATTTTTATTTTTAAATAACATCATCTTATTAAATATTTTATTATTCAAGTTCAGCTATTTATTAATCTAATTTATTTTTTAATTCTTAAGCATTTTATAGTTCTTTGTTTTTCAAATCATTTTAGAGTTATAACTCGTTAAAATTACTTTTTAACTCATTCATTTATTAATTCTTATCTTAAAATTATTAATTCAGTAAATCTATTTAGTTTTATAATTGGCTTTCTTTTTATTATTAAATTAAAGCTAGTTCCCCTGCTTTTTAAGTATTTAATGCATTTAATTCATTTTAACTAGATAATAAATAAATATAAAATAAAACATTTATATTAAAGCAAACCTTTGTTTTAATTAACTTATATAATCATCTTTCTAAATATTATTATTTTTTAAGTCCTCACATAATCTTTCAATTTATTTTATTAATTATTATAACTTATCGTTTTCTGCTTTTTATAAGTTTTTTTATAATTCACTATCATTTAGCCTTTTATATTTTATTATTAATTATAAAATATATAAAGTTTTTTTACATTTTTCTTATTTTATTTATTTCTTCATCTTTTTAAGCAACTGTTTAATTGTGGATTTTATTTTCCATATCTAATTATTGTTCTTTTTATTTCAATAGTAGTTATTAGGCATTTAATTTCTTTTAGTTTTAATCTATTACATCTTATAAACTTAATTTTATTATAAATATTATTTTTAAAAAAAGAATTTGTTTTTTATACTTTTGTTTTAATTATAATATTTCATCATTTTTCAAATTATTCGTATTTTTTAGTTCTTGACAATAACTATTTAATTTTTAGTTAATTTACTATTCATTAAATAATTCATTTGCAATTAAATCTTTTTAAGCATTTAATGCGTTTAACCTATTATTTTTATTTTTTTATTAAAATAATATTTTGATTACATTTTTTTAAGTTTATTTATTTCATCTTGTTTATCTTATAATTATTATTTTAATAAATTTATTTAATTTTCTAAATTTTATTGATTATTCAAATATAGTATTTATTATTCTTATAATTTTTAATTGTTCTATAAAATATTGTCTTTTAAACTATTTTATTTTATTTTATTTTTTTAAATTATATAAAAATACTTTTGCTTCATTCCATTAAATTAATCATCTTTTTCATTATTCTTTTATTATAGTTCTTCAAATTATTTTTCTAAAGATTATTTTAAAGCACTCAATTAATTTAAATTATTTTCAGATTTTTCTTTTTCTGCTTTTAATTGATTTAATCTTTTTTATAAAAATAATATATTCATTATTAAATTAAAAAAAAAAAAATTACGATATTTTTATTTAGTTAATTTCATCATCTTTATCTTATAGTTATTATGTGAGCTAATCAAATTCATTTTATTATTGGTATTATTTTTTCTTATATTAATTTTCGAGATCATTAATTTTTTTATCATTATTTAGATTATTATCGTTTGCGCTATAATAATATTTAAGTTTTTTTTTTTTTAATATTTTCAAATTATAATTTATAATTAGTTTTTTTTTTTTTTTACTTTTATTTTAATTGATTTATCATATCATCCTTAGAATTAATATCTTTTTTTAATTCTTAAATTTAATTATTTAATTAATTAATTGAATCTTCAAGATTTTTAATTTAATTATTTGATTACTATTTCTCAAAATCTAGTCCATTTATACTTTATTTATTTATAAAAATAATATTTAAAAAAAATTGTATTTACTTTTCTAATAATTTTTAGATATCGTCTTCTTTTTATTTTATTTCATCGTTAAACTTTTGTATATCTTTTCTATTCTTTTTTTTAATATTTTCTAAATCACACTATAATTCGTTTAATTTTTAATCGTTTTAAATATTGTTTTCATTTAACCTTTTTTATAATATATATAAATTTATAATTTTTTTTTTTTTTACTTTTATTTTAATTAATTATTATCTTAATCTTTTTATTTGTTTGCTTTTTATAAATTCTCTAATTCTTTTTCTAAGTTTTATTTTTGTTATTATAAGTTATTTATATTGTTATTTAAGTTTTAGTTTTGAAGCAAAGAATCATTTAAACTAATTATGTTAATAGAAATTTAAATTAATATTTTTATAATGTTTTTTACTTTTTATTTAATATGCCAAGCTAATAATCTTTCTCTTACAATTAATTCTCTAATTAATTAATAGTATTTTCTGATTAAATCTTTTCTTCTTATATAATGTTTTTCAGATTATTATTTTGCTTTTGGTCTTATTATTAACGATCATTCATACTTTTTATTTAAATTTTAAAAAATTAATATATCTTTAGATCTTACGTTTTCTTAAGTTTTTCTTATTCTTCATTCAATCTATTGATAGTGTTTAATAAATCTTAAATAGAACTTTCTTAATTAGCTTTATCTTTTAGTAAATCTTAAATTTATTATTATTAAGCTTATTTATTAAAGTTTTAATCTTAAAATCTATATACAAAAAAATAAAAAGCATTTAAATATTTTAAATTAAAAATAATATATTAAAAAATACTCTTATTTTAAAGCAAAAATTTCTTAGTCTTTATCTTTTATGGCTTAATCTAGCTATTATACTTGATTTCCTAAATGTTATTAATAATCAAATAATTATTCTTATAAATCTTAAATTTATTTTTTATTTAATTAAGCTTAATCCAATAAACTTTTTTTTAATTTTAATTACACATATTAATAATTAAATGTTACTTTTTATTTAATTAATCTATTATTTGTTGTTTATTACTATTTCCTTATTTCAATAATTCATTTTAAGCTTAGATTTATTTTTTTTGATCTAAGGCTCCTTATAAATCATTAGTTAATAATTATTTTTGTAAATTAAGATCGTTTAAACTAATATAAAAGTAAATATTTAAATTTATATAAATAAATTTTTACCTTCCTATGTATTTTTATATTTCTTTATTTGATCGTTAATTCATTCGTTTAAATTATCATTTTAATTTTATAATTATTATTTTTCTTTTTAAGCAGTTAATTAAATTTCATTATTCTTTTATTTATTCTTTAATGTATTATCATAAAATCTAAAATAATTTATATATATAATTATTAAATATAATATACTTTTTTGAATTTTATTTCAAACTCTTTTTTTAATTGATTCATTTATTCTTCTTTTTATTATTCTTTTGATTTATATTCATTTATTAATCCTTCTAAGTTTTAGTTTTGCATTTTAGTTTTGCTTAAATCATTTTAATTTAATTGATTTTATTAAGATATTTAATCCAATCTTTAAAATTAAAAAAATTATTATTGAAATACTTTTATTTATATTAATTACTATTATTTCAAATTTTATAACTCATCTTCTTTATTTTAAATTTAATTTTGAAGATTTTCTTTATTTTATTCATATTCTTATAGTGCTTTTTGGAAATTTAATTATAAATCATTTAATTATTAATCTTTATTAGCATTTTTTATTTATTATCTTTTTTTATTTTAAATGACTTTAATTTTGTTATCAATTAAAATAAAATTACTCATTTATTTATTTTAAAAGTTATTTTTCCTTTTCTGCATTTTTAGTTTTTGAATTTTTAATTTAATCTTCTAAGACTTTTTTTAATTCTTCTAAATTATTAAGTTCATTTTCAAGTAAATTGTTATGATTTTCGATATTACCTAATCTAATTATATAAAAATAAAAATTACAATAAATAAAAATATATTTTACTGAATGTTTAATTATTTTATATTATCATCTTTATTATTAAGTTATTTAGATAAATCATCTGTTAATTATTATAATTATTATTCCTTTTAATCTAACTATATTAATATATCATTTATCTAATCTTATTTTTATTTATTTTAGTCTAAAAGACTATTTTTAATTAAATAAATAAAAAAATTGTATTTATTATTAAAATTATATTACTTTTATTGTAATTATTTTATTTTATCAACTTAATCTTTATTATTTTTCTACTAATCTTCAATTTGCTTAACTAATTATTATTCTTTTTTTAAAAAATTTTCTAATTCTTAGTTTTAAATTTAATTTTCATGAGATAATTAATTTAATCTTTTTAAAAAATTATTTAAATATAATTTATTTCAAAAAAAATAAATTTAATAACTTATGATTTAATTATTGGATATCGTCATGTTTTTTCTCTATCTCTTAATTTAAATTAATAATTTCTTATTCTTGTTATTTATCTTTATTTTATTGTTAAATATTTAAATCTTGTATAGCTTAGTTTTTCTAGTTTTCTAATTCATTTATTCTATTTTATTTAAATATATTTTAATTTATTTTATTTACTGTTTTTTTAATTATTCAATTTCTTGATCTTTATTATGAGCTGTATCTTTTTATTATTAATAAAGATTTTTTAATTTTTCATTTTAATCTAAAGCATTTTTAAATTAATTTTCTTTTAATATTTTTTAATGATTCTAATCATTCAAGCTTTATTTTTATAAAAATAATAAAAATTATTTTATTAAAATATTTTTGTTTTTTTTACATTAATTATAGTTTTTAAATTTAATCGTTTTTATCATCTAATTCTTAATTTACTTTTTCTTTTTAATTTTTTAAATCATCAATCTATTTTTGATGATTTAGTTAAATTTCATTTAGTTTTTAAAAATTTTAAAGTTCATTATCATTTAAGCTTTTATTTTTTTTAATATATTAATATTTTTAATAATTTATTACAGTTATTTTAATTAGTTAATTTTATTGTTTTGTTAATCATTTTTTTATTTTAATTATAAATTTTGGTTTTAAACATCTTTATTTTATTGGTTTAAATTTTCGAAATCCTTATCTTTTAATTATTTTTTAATATTGATTTCATTTAATCTATAAAATATAAATAAATCAAAATTTCAAATATTTATAATTTTACTTTTGTTGTTAATCATTTATTAATTAGTTTTAGTCTTTTAATTATTTATCTTAATCCTAAATTTAGTTTTCTAATAATTACTTTTATTACTATTAATTTTAAATTAAGTCTTTAATTTTTTTATCATTTTCAATATCATTATCCTACAATCTATAATTATATTTAAAAATATTTATGTAAAAAATTATTTATTTACATTTTTTTTAATTAGTTTATTTCATTATCTTTTTCTTATTTCTTCTATTCTAATTATTATAACTTATTTTCTAAATTTCTATTGCTTTAAACTGCATCGTTTAATTCATTTTCTAAAACTTCCTTCTTATGATTTATATCATTTAAGCTTTTATTTTTTTATTCAATTAAAAAATTTATATTAATTTTGTTTTTTACTTATCATTAATTTTCATTAGTTATTCTTCTTATTTTTGAATTAATTGGTTTAGTTCTTGATTTTTTTGATTATTTTCAGATTCTTTTTGTTTATAATCATTAATAATTTCTTTTAGTTTATTATTATTTTCTTGATTTGCTTAATTTAACCTATTTTAATTTAATTTTTATATACTTTTTTTATATTGTTACAATCTATTTAATTCGACTATTTCCTATTCTTTTTGTTTATTCTTATCTTATAACTCTTTATTTTTTTATTCTGCTTAAGCATTATATTATAAAACATTTTCAAATTCATTTTTTTATTTTTATTTTTCAGCATTTATATTATTTAAACTATTAGAAAAAAAAAATTATAAGAAATTTTTATGTTTTTTACTCTTATTTTAATTAATTTAATTCTTCTTGTTTATTTTCGAGTTTTTAAGTAATATTTTAGTTTTGTTTTTCTAAATCTTTTTATTGTTATTATTAAGCTTATTACATTTCCTTTATTTTTTTATCGTTTTCTAATATTCTATTTTGAAAACTTTTTTTTATAAATTTTATTTATTTAAAATTTTCCAATATTATTTTACTCATCTTTAAGTTGTTAAATATAACTATCTTTTTAATGATTAATTTCTTTCAAATCTTTTTATTATTGTTCTATTTATTTCTTTAATTCTAAAGAATTATCTATCTCAGTATTTTTAAGTTCATTTTATAATTTTAAGTCATTTAAGCTATTTTTTAATTTAATATTTTTTTACAAACAAAAATTATTAATTTAAATTTAACTCTTTTAGTAGCTTTGTTACTTAGTTTTCTTAATCTTAAATTTAATCTCTCAGTTTATTATTCTCATTTTCTAGTTATTTTTATTTCTTAACAAACTAGACCTCTTATTCGTTATTTTTTTAATTATTTTATAATTGAATATCAGCAATACTATTTTAAAAATTATATTTATTGAATTTTTTGTTATTTACTTTTATTTTAATAAATTTATTTTTTCATCTTTTTATTTATTATTATCCTTTAATTCTTATAATTTTTATTCTAAATGATTTTTTTATTCATTTGACTTTTCTATTTCATTATCTTTTATTTATTTTTAGAATTCAGAATCATTTAAGCTTTTTTATATAAAAATAAACTAACCTAATAATATATATTTTATATTACTTTTATTTTATTTTTTCTAATTAATCTTCTTTTTCTTTTATTAATAGATTTAGTTTTTCATTTTCTTTTTCTTTTTATTTTATTTCTATTGCTGCCTATTTTTCCAAATCTTTCAATTATTTATCGCTTTCAAGAATTTAATTTTTCAATCTTTATTAATAAAGCTTAAGTATTTATATAAAATAATTTTGTACGCTTTTTTCGTTTTTTCTAACTAATCATTTTTATCAGAATTAAGTTATTTTAATTCTTAGCATTTATCTTCAATATTTTTTTTTAATTCTATAATTGCTAACATTTCTTTATCTTTTTAATTTTTTAATTAATCTTTTTCATCTAAACTTTTTTAATTTTTTTAATTTTACAAAAATATGAATATATACTTACTCTTTTTATAATTAATTTATTTAATCATCTAAATCATTAATTTTTTCATTTAACAATTAAGATTCTTTTTCAAATTATTATTTACTTTTTTATCCATTTAATTCATATTCTTTTATTTTTTTAGCATTTTAATCATTATAATCTTTTAGTCTTTTTTTTTTATTAATTAAAATACATATATATATATTTATTTATATATTTTACTATTGTTTCATTTGATCAATTATATCTTGTTTTTTGGCTGTTTCCATTTAAAATTCTTATTTTTAAATATTAAATTGCTTTTTTGCTTCTTCATTTTATTTTTGTAAATCTTAAATATTTTTTTCATTTTCCATTTTAATATCATCAATGCTTTTTTTATATTTAAAAAAATTTAATATAAATCTAAAAATAAATATTTTAATTATACTTTTTCTTAAGATTATTAATTTCCATGTTTTTTTTTTAAACATCTTAATTTAATTCTTGAACTTTTTAATCTTTTTATTATCCTAATTAATTTAATTGGTTTAATTCACTTTCTTTTTACTAATCATCAATATATTTACTTTTAATTAATTATATAATATTTTTTATAATCTATTTTTTTTTTTTTAAAAAAAAAAATACCTTTTTTTAAATTAATCAAGTTCATTTTCCTTTTCACTTAAAAGTTATTATAATTCATTTTTTCTGTATTTTTTTTTAAATATTTAAATATATATATTATCGATAAACTATCAAATATTTTTTTACGCTTATTAAATTCTTTCTTTTTCTTCAATATTTTATTAATAACCTTTTTGTAATTATTCTTATTATTTTTTAATTTCTTTTTATTCTTTTTTAAAATTTTCTTAATCTAATTCATATTAAATTTTCAAATTTTATAAATCTTCTACTTAATTTTTATTTTTTTCTAATTCTTAAAGGGTTTCTTATAATTCTTTTTCTTTTTATTCCTTTTCTGCATTTGTTTGGTCTAATCTTTTTTATATATTTTTTGTTAATATTTAAAATTAAATAACAAAATACATTTTTCTTAAATTTTCAAATTCTTCCTATTTTTAAATTTCTAAATTTTTTTATCATTTTCCATTAATTATATTTATTCAGTAATTGTATACTCTTATTATTCACACATACTTTTCCAATAATCTATTTCTTCATCTTTTGCTGCAAATAATTCTAATAAACCATTTGTACCACTTCTCCAACTTTATCTTGGTTAATTTGGAAGCTTTTTATCGATTTTAGGCGCATTTGGAACTACAACAGTTGTTTTTATTATAGCTTAACCAGGCTTATTTTAATCTTAAGGAGTAGGTAAAATTCCTTTTCTCTAAGTTTTTAAAGATACTTGCGTTGGTTCATCTGCCTCACTTTCGCTACTTTAGCTGCTCATGTTTTTTTTTTTTTTTTTTTTTTTTTGATTAATATTTTTGAATTTAATTTATTTTATTTTATTTAAGTTTTATTTAAATAAATTATTTATATTTATTTTTTAATATTAATTGTAGATTTAAAAGAAAGAAGAAAAATGAATGTAGCATTTCTGAAGATTTAAAATAAAATATGAAACTGTAATTTTTAAATATTAATTTTTGGCATTGTTTTTTTTTTTTCTTTATTTCTTTATTTATATTTAAAAACTCAATTAAACATAGAAAGAAGATTAATACATTTACTTTCTCGTTTTTTTTTTTGTTATTAGATTTATTTTAAAAAAAATCTAAAAAAAATAAAAAAATATTAAAAAGTAAAATATCCACCACCTTTTCTTATTTGGTAAATTTATAATAATATTTTTAAAATATTGTATTAATAGCATACTAATTTAATTTTTTTTAAATTAAAATAAAAATTTAAAATTAAAAAAAAAAGTATTCAAAACAAAAATTATATATAAAATTTAAAAAATCTATTACTTATAAAGAATCTATATTATATATATATATTTTTTTAAAAATAAATTATTTTATTTTGTTTTTAATTTTTTTTAAAAAAAACTTAATAATACCTATTGATAATTATAAAATACTGGTTCAGAAAAAAATTAATTATTAAAATGATATTTTTAATTTTTTTCTATGGAGATTCTAAAAAAGCTAAATAATTTTTTTAATAAATTAAAAGAAATATATATTTCTTATTTATTATTTTTAAAAAAAATTAATTAAAAAAGTAATAGTCTAACATATATATATAATAAATAGATATTATTATTATTTTTGTTTATAAGGTTTTACTATTTTTTTATTTTTTATTTTGTTTTAAATACTTATAACAAAAATATAAGATGTGATCAATCATTTAATTGAAAAAAATATACAAATATAATCAAGTAAAATAGATAAGAAGCAAAAATAAGATTATTAAAAAAAAAATATATATATATAAATTTAAAATAATTTAATACTAAAGTAATATATATATAAATATGGATATAAATTTTTAATCTTAATATAAAATTAAATGTAAAATTATATATTTTCTTAATAAGAGAAAAAAAAAAAAAAAAAAAAATATCCGATAATTTTAAAATTTTGAATAATATGCATAAATAAATAGATTTTGTAAAAGTATTTATAATTAAAATAAATTAAATTATTAATCCTTTAATAAAAAATAATAAATATAATATATCAATTTATAATTAAATAAAATTATATTTAAATAAAATATTATTGAATAAAACAATCATAAAATATAAAAAATCAATTAATATTTTAAAAAACTCAAATAAATTCATTATTTTTAACTTTTAAGTTTATTTATAGTGGATCTAATGGGTGATATAAAAAACTATTTTACATTTTTAATTCAAATCCTTCATCACATTCAAAATCAAATGTTTTTAAAAAATAATATAATATTATTTTTGCTTCAATACTAGCCATATGTTATCCAAGGCAATTTCTTTTACCAGCACTAAAAGGAATATATGAATATGGAGGATATTTTATATCTTTTAACCATCTTTCAGGATCAAATACATGAGGATTTTCATAATATAATGGATTTCTATGGATACCAATAATTAAAGGTGTGACTAAAGTTCCTTTTGGAATAAAAATATTTTATAAATAATGATCCTTTGTTGCTTCTCTATAACCAAGTTAATTAGCTGACGTATAAAATCTTAAACATTCTTTTATTACGGCATTTAAATAGACTAGAGTTTAAATTTATTCAAATTATGCTCCATTTATTTCTTTTATAAGTTTTTCTTTAACTTCTTTATATTAAGTTAAATAATAAATAATCATTCCAGTTAAATGGCTTGTAGTTTCAATACCTGCTATATAGAATGCGATAAAATCTTAAGCAATATTTTGAATATCGATTTTTTCAAGGAGTTTATTTTTTATTAAATAATTTATAATATCTTCCTTTTCACTATTCTTTCCTTCTTATTCTAAAGTTTTTCTTCTTATATCCTTTCTGTTATTATTTATTTAAATAATTATTCAAATTCACTTATTTGTTTATTAAAAATTCTATCTTGTTTAGTTAAACCTAGATCAAAATATTTAATTCCGAAAAGTATATATTATGGAGTTTTAATCTATTAGTAAAATTTAAGGAAAAAATATATTATTGAATCTGACAAAGTTATTCCATAAAAAAGCTAATTATCTGCATTTTTACTTACCAAACTATGAATTATTACTTTAGAAGTTATTTTTGTAATTAAGTGAATAACATCTTGTTTTTATAATTAATTGTTTTAAATTATTTATTTAAAAAGATTTATAGTCTACTCTTTCATATTTGGAACTCTTTTTTGAAGATAATCAAAGTTGAAATAACCAGAGTATATTTACCTTTATTCTTTCCATTGATCATATTATACAAATGCAAAAGATTAGAGTATTAATTTCAATGGTTCTAATGGAAATTTATATTTTTCATATGTTCTAGACTATTATTTATAGAATTCTTTAATTAAATCAATATCTAATAATAATAAAATGACTCTATTACTTATGTTCTCAACTAAAATTTTAGGTTGATTTCCATCATCAAATACATGTTGGTGATGATATAAACAATTTTTGTATTTTTATAAGGATTACTATTAAAAGTAAAAAGTGCCTAACAAAGGAAAAAATTAACCCTTTCCATATTTTAAATATGATTTATATCTTCTATATGGTAATATTATTAAATTAAATAATAGATATATAAAGAGAAGAACAAAAAATAACAAAATTAATATAAATATCATAAATATTTATTATTTGTATATTAATTATAAATAAATAAATTTTTATATTATTAATTAAAAAAATTAATATAAAAATCATAATACAATTTAATTTAATTTTTTAAAATTAGCTTTTTTAAAGATTTATAATATATTAATTATAATTTTTGATTTAATTATATTAAATATTTTTTAAAAAATAGTTTAAATAATTTAAAACTCAATTATACATTTATATAAATTTTTTTATATTAAAAATTATATTATCTTTAATATAATAAAATTATTCTTATATTAAATATTTAAAAATTACAATCAAAATTTTATATTCACATTATTTTTTTACTTTTTTTAAAAAAATCTTAAATTTTAAATTTATTTTAAAATATTTTTTTTTTATTTAATTAAAATAATATATATTTTATTATATATATATTTATAATAAATATATTTATAAAATATATAAATATTGTTTATTCTTAAATATAAATCTTTTGTCATTTTTATATTAATAAAATATTTTATTCTAAAACATAAAAATTATTTTATATAAATTTCTTCTTTTAAACCCAAGAAAATATAATACTTCTTAAAAGAATATGTATCTTTTCTTTGTGTTTGTGGTTTTTTATCTATAGTAATTCTTTTATTAACCAGTAAAGCTATATTTAAAGTCTTTTATAGTTTCGAAAAATTAAAAGTCCATTTTTAACTCACTCTTAAATCGAGTGTTATTTTTGGTACTATTATTTATGCATTATTAATATTTTTAAGTAAAAAAGCCTTTTAGTCATAGATATTATCTATATAATAATCATTATTTTGACTTAAGTTATTAATATATAGGTTTTACTCACAATTAGGTTTATAACTAGAATAGTGATTGATTTAAAAAGAAGTTTAGTGCTTTAATATATATAAGTATCTTCTGGGTAATTAATAGAAAAAAAGGTAATTCTTTTTGACCTTGTGACAGCGAATCTTATGATTATTATAAGCTCGTATTTTTTTTTAATGAAAATAAATTATCACTAAAAATTAGTATCCGAAATTACTTTAATATTCACTTAATTATATTAAGCATTTAAATAATTAATATCCTATTTAATAATATATTATTAGATTTTTTAATTCATATCATTAATTTTATATTTATAATGTTTTTTCAATATATATTTTATAAATAAAATCAAAAATAAAATATTTTTAAAATTATGATTGATATAAATATAAAAAGCATTAATAATGTAATAAAATATTAAATAATATAATTATTATTTATAATTATAAAAAAAAATAGTAAAAAACATATTTAAAAATTATTTAATTTATATGTAATAATGATTATTAATAATATTTTATATGATTTTATGTTTAAAAATGAAATATTAATTTATTTTTATTTGTAATTATATATTTAATATAATTTTATGTTATTTTTTTTTATATATATTTTATATATAGAATTATATGATTAATAATTTTTTATTAATTTAATAAATTTAGAGTTTGTACTATATATAAAGTAAATTATTAAAAAGTAAAAGGATAAAAGAAAATAAATATTAACAAAATAAAGAAAAGATGATATTATAAGCTTTATAATATAAATTAGTTCTTTTCTTTTTTTCTTATTTTTTAATTAATATTTATTTAATTTTTACTTTAACCTTTACTATTTTTATAATTATAAAATAAATTTTATATTTTATCAATAAATTAATTAATTTTTTCATAATTATTCAAAATTATATTCAGCTAATTAAGATAATTAAAGTCTTTCAGTATTAAATTATCTCACATCATTTGCTTATGATGCTTCAATTAAATAATTCATTAAGCATTTTAATTCTGTATCTTTTTTATCCTAAAACCACTCTAAAATAGGTATTCCATTTTCAATTTAAAATCCAAAAGAATGAGCCAAATTATCTACAATGACCATTTTTTTAAGATCTTTACCTTTAAGAATTCTTAGGTCTTTAATAAAAAACCCATTTTTAGTTTCCATACAATTACTTCTATTCAAAATTCCATTAATATATTTTCCTTCAGAATCCAAAAACTTGACAATAGCCGAAGCATAAGAAGGAGATGAAGCTGTAAAAACATAAATATCCCAATATTAAACCATTGTTTCTAAAAATTCTTTACAATAAGGTCTTACTCTGAATCCAATTTAATAACTCTATATGATTTAATTATTTTTAAATATTTTTTTTTTTAAGAAAAATTACACTTTATCCGTTTTCATATGCATTTATTACATGATCAGGATTTTCTCTCAAACCACAACTATGTATTAGTGTCTCGTCTAAATCAAGTAAGAGAGTTCTTCCTTTTGGAACTTTTTTATTTTAATTATTTTTTTAAAAAAAATGCCTAATTAGTAGAATTTTTTATTTTACCTTTTGCGTCTTTTACTGTTACCATTTTAGTTTATATGAATTTATCAGAGGGTCCTTTTAAGCATTTTTTAGCATAAACTAATCCCCTATAGGTTAATTAAAGGTGCTTTTTAAAAGTTTCTATTTTTTTTATTTATATTTTTTTATTTATTTTTTTACCATCATTTATTTATTCGGAAAAAATCAAATGTCTATAAGGATGATTATCTAATTCTTTTTGTTTATCTCTTTATTAAGCTATTTTTCTTTAGTTTATATCAGATTCTATTACTGTTATTCCTTTTTGTCTTGTTTCTGGTTTAAATTATTGCTAATTCTGTGGTTAGAATTAGATAACTTTTTATTCAATTGCTTTTTTTGTAAAAATTAAAATAAATTATTTTTAAATATGTACGTTTTTGTTAAAATGTGTTCCTTTTTCCTACTTATGGCTATTATCTTAAAACAGGAGATTCTACTTCTTCTTCTGAATAAAAGCCAACTTGATCTTAATTTAAATGTATTAAATGAGATTATTATGCAGAGTTTCCTTTAAAGTGATATATTTTATCCATTTTTTCTTTTTTTTATTGGTTTTCTTTTTTTTTAGATTGTAAGTAATGAAGGGATATTTTTTTTTTTATATTTAATGTATATTTTTTTTATTACTTATTTTTTTTTTTAATAATTTGCTTATTTATATGGAATTATTAATTTTTGTTTGTTTGTGGCTTTAAATATTTTTTTTTTTTAATTATAAATATAATATTTTACCACAAAATAATATACTTTTTTTTTTTTTTTTTTAATGAATAAAAAAAAATTATGTAAAAAAATAAAAATATTATTTTTTTATAAATAATCAATTAGTTTATATTTTTTTTTAAAAAAAAAATCATATCTAAAATCAAAAAATGTTCTAAAAATCAAAAATTCCAATATAAAAATTTACATATAATATTCTTTTTTTTGGCAGTGACAATTTTCCTTTAGCAACTTTCAAAACCATACATACTAAAATTGATCCCAAAATAACATCCAATCTTCATTTAGTTACAAATTATCAACCCCCAGAATAAAAATCTAAACATAAAAATCTTATATAATAATATGCAATACAAAACAACCTATAAGTATACCAACCATTAGGTAAAACATCCAAAAATACTCAAATTGAATGGCAAGAATTTATTTAAAGCGGTGTTTTTGAAAATACAAAATTTGACATTGGGGTAGTATGTTCATATGGATATATGATCCCAAATGAAATAATTGATTGTTTCTAATAAGGAATGTTTGTTATTCATCCTAGTTTACTTCCCAAATATAGAGGCGCTTCTCCAATTTAATAAGCTTTGTTAAATGGAGATAAGGAGACTGGAGTTTCAATTATTGAGATTAGTAAATAAAAATTTGATGCTGGAAAAATACTTAAATAAAGTAAAATTTCAATTCCAGAAGAATTTACTTATACAGAATTAAGTGAAAAGTTATCTGATTTATGTATATTTTTTTATTTTTTTAAAATAAATATTTTTTATATATTTTTGTTTAAATATAGCAAGTTAATGTCTTGTTAATATTTTATAAAATTTAAATTTTTATAAATAGAATGCTGTTAATTAAAATGAAAGTGAAGTTTCTAAAGCTCCTAAATTTCAAGTTTAAGATAGTTTCTTAGATTATTGCTAATTTGATGAGGTGGAAATTTATAATAGGTTTAGATGTTTTAAAGGAACTAACTTTGTTTCTGTGAGGACTATTTTTGTTGATAAAGAAGTTATTTTGGATAAAATTAGTTTACCAAATTAAAAATAAATTGAATAGTTGAATTAATATAAAAATGCTCTACCGGGTTCTTTATGGATTATTCAGAGTTGTAGGAAGAATTTCTTTGTTAAATGTAAAAATAGATTTGTTAAAGTTGATGAATGGAGATTTTTTAATTAGAAAATTAAATAAGCTTATACCTTTATTGATTAATTTTTTGATAAATAGTTAATTTATGATAATCCAGATTCTTAAGGACATTATTTTTTTAAATATAAATAAAAAAATTGAATAAATTTTAATTATTATTATTGTATTTTATGTTTTAATTAAAATTAAATTGAATATTTAAAAAAAATAAACAGTTAAATAAATTATGTAGAGTTATAGTTTTATAAAAGAATTATAAAAAGTCAGAAATGCATTATAAAATTAATAAATATTATAAACAAGTAGTTAAGTATTTTAAATAAGAAATTAAAAGGATTTTTTTTTTTAATTTTCGAATGAACAATAGATTAATAAAACCTTTGATAAAATGTATATAAAATGGATGAAAGAAACTATTGATATATAATGTAAAGATAATCATATTATATATAATAACTTTTAGGATAGTTTAAAGGTTATTAAAGTTTTATAGAAAAAAATAAAAGAATAATAAACTATAATAAATTAAACATATAATTTATTAAAATTAGAGTTTTCAAAATAAGTGTAAATTAATTAATAAAAGGAAGTATTTTTTTTTTATTTTATTTTTTTTGTTATTTAAATAAATAGAAATAAATTTAATTTTTATAAAAATAAATTATATTTTGGAAAAATAAATATTAAGGTTTGATAATAAATATAAAGGAAGTAGTTTAGGATTAAATTTAGGAATTTTAAGAAAATATCGAATATATAAATTAATTATAATTAGAAAATAACTATTTACGTTAAATTTTAAATATTAATTTTACATAAGATTAAATTAATAAGTATGAAGAATTATTAAGCAAAGAAGAAAAATAAAATGATTTTTTTTTGGAAAAAGAAGATTTTGAATATAAAAAATAATTTAAAAAAAAAAATATAAATAATTTTTAAAATAATGATAATAATATTTTTTAAGAAAAATATTAAGATTATATTGATAATAATGATGAATTTTTTAAAATCGAAAATATTATAAATAATATAAAAAAAGAAGAAAAATAAAATTTATAGTATTATGAAAAATTTAATGTTTATAATGAATAATTAAATAATTGAAATTTTTTTTTTTATAAATTTAATAAAATAAAATTAAATTAAACAATATAAAATAATAAAATAAAATTAATTTAAATCTATTAAAAAATATAAAAATAAAGTATTAATAAAAATAATTAATTAATATAAAATATTTATTCACTAAAAATAAAAATAATAAAAAATAAAATAAATAAAAAAATATGGGTTAAGAATAGTCTAAATAAGTATTATAATAAAACTAAAATTAAAGCATCTAAGAATCTTCCTTAAACGAAAATAATATAGAAATTTTAGAATCTAAATAAATAGACAATTTAGATCGCATTAAGTAACACAAAAATTATCAAAATGAATAATCCCCGATGTTTTCAGGTAGCTTTAGTGTAAACTAATCCAAATAATTATAACAAGAAGATGAATTAGAGTAAGAAAAACTCAATGAATAAGATGAATTAGCCCAAAGACAGCGATATATTCAAGAATAGGTGAAAAGAATACAAAAAAATAATAATTTAAATAACACTTTTGGGACTACAATGGAGAGTTGGAATAAATAAGATTCTCGAAAATAATAAATAATTAACGAAATCTTATATTCAAATAAAAAAAGAGTCAGTAAAAATAAGATTAATAAAATGTAGTAGATAGATTATTAGAAAAAGGAAAAGAGAAGGAAATCAGAAATTAATTAACAATGGATTTTTATGAATAAAAAGAATTACAAGAATGTACTTTTTAGCCTTAAATTGGAAAAAAAAACAAAAAAATAATTTACGAAGTTTGGATTAGTTTTTAGAATAATAGGAGGTTTTTTTGAAAAAAAAAGATGAAAAAGTAGAAAAAATGAAACTTTTTTTAGAAAAAAATGAAATAAAAGAATGTACTTATTAGCCGTCTGTTTTATTATTTTCTGAGGTGGTAAATATATCTAAAAAATAAAAAAATTAGGGAAAAAAAGGAAATCATTAACCAGTATATAAAAGACTTTTTGATTTGCATTAAATTAAGAAAAACAAAGAAACGAAGAATGAAGATACTGATTAAAATAATTAGAAATAAAATTAAAAGAATTATAAGTAGAATCATTAAACAATTGAAAGACTTTATATATTAGGAAAATAAAAATAATAGTCAAAAAGGGAAGGGAAAATTTTTATCTAAGCAAAATAAAATTCACATAATTCATTAAATGATGATAATAAATAAAAAAAATAAAATATTACTTATTGTTCGAAAAATTCTTAGATTAATGTTGCTTAAAAAATAATAAAAGAATATTAAAATATAGTTAATATAATTATACATGATATTGATAAATAATAATATATTTTAGATTATATTTAGTAATTATATAATTATATTAACATTTATATATTTTTTAAAAAATAGATTTTCTGAAATTCTTAAATATATGGGACTTGTTAGTTTTACTGATAAAGTTGAAAGCTAAAACTTTGTTACAGAAAGATCTTTATTGAATGATATTTGGATAACTTTGCATGGAAATGAGAATAAATGTACTTATAGGAATTTATTGCTTTTTATTTATGCTATTATGGGACTTGATGTTGAATTACCAAAATTTATAAAAGGTTAAGAAAATGATCTTTTGTTAAATTTCTCAAAAGATGTTGCATTTCCACTTTTAAGAGATGTAGACGGAGCCATTGTAGAAGAAATGGAAAAATTGAAGTTGTAAGCCTAAAATAATTTAGCTAGATAAAGTTATATTAAAATGCAAAAAGAAGTTGAAGAAAGAATAAGTATTTTAGATTATAAATAAGAAGAAAATATTTATAATAAAGAAGAAGGTAATAAAACATATATTAATAATAATAATAATAATAATAATAATAATAATAATAATAATAATAATAATAATAAAAATAATAATAATAATTTTAAAAATTAAGAATTAAATGACAATTTAAAACTATGGGTTTCCTAAAGAAAAAAATATATCAATGTTGGTAGTTTTGATTCAGAAAATAATCTTATATTAAATTAATAAGAAATTATATAAATTTAAGAAACTTATTATCCATTATATAATAACAAACTACATTGCGAAAAACAAAAATAAAAATACTTTTGTACTTAGACTTAGTAAGATTATAAAAAAGAAAAAACTTTAGAAGAACAACTAAAACACGTTGAACATTTGTATAGTTAGAATAAAGAATAGTAAAAAAAACATCAAGAAATAAAAGCTTCAAAAGAATAATTGGAATTACAAGAATGTACTTTTTCTCCTTAAATTTTTTCCTGTTTAGTTAATTCAAAAAAAGATGTTTTTAATAACTTTGATCATATTTTAGAATAAGAAACAAAAAATAAAAGGTATTTGGATCTTTATAATTTAGCTAAACCAATGTCAATGTTGAGGGATAAGTAAACTTATGAAATTGAATATGAAAAATACTGCGATTAGTGTACTTTTTCTCCTGATATAGGAATTTCTAATAAAATAAAAAATAATAATTTTAATAGTTTTTATTTTATATATATATTTATATAAATAATGTTTTTTAATAAAATAAGGTGAATAGAATCTTTATATAAAAAATAAAGACGAAACTATAGAAAGATTAAGAAAAGCTTATTAAGATAAATAAAATTTCTAATAAATGACTTGTAGAGGAGAAATTCTTTATTAGTAAAAAAGTCCTGTGAAAACATAAGATTTTATTTAAAAAAATATATAATAATATACTCCAGTACATTTAAAAAGACCTTTTATTGGTACTTAGAAATAATATATTGGTAAATAAACTAATGATTATGGATTTAGTAATACACATAGTGTTTAAATATTAAATAGTAAAGATGAATTATAATAAAGTAATATATTTATAATAAAAAATATTTAAGATAATTAATAAATAAAATAGTTGACAATATGGATTAAGTTTCTCCTGAATTTGGATAAAATAATCTAAAATAAATGATTTAGGATTAGATGGATAAATAATAATAATAATAATATTAATAATATAATAATAATAATAATAATATTAATAATAAGATTATAATAATTAGATTGATGAATAGGATTTATAATATTAACTTTTTAACTAATAAAATCCTCTTCTTTATGTTGATATTAATTTAGGAGCAGATTAAACTGAAAGGATTATTGTTTATGAAGGCGATTAACCTGAACAATTAGCAATTAATTTTATTTAATAACATGGTTTTTTTTATTATATTTTTTTTTATTTTTTTTAATTTTTTTAGGTCTTGATTTTAATATTAAGGATAGACTAGCTGGAATGCTTTAAATGTAAATACAAAATTCATTAAATAATAATAATGATTAAAATATGTGAAAGCGTTAACTTTACCTCTTTTTATTAATTTTTTATATTTTTTTTTATTTTAAACAATAAACATATATAATTTTTATATTAAATATTATTGTTTATATTTTTTAAGATTTTTTTTTTATTCAATTTATATTTTTATCATTTTTTTATATTTATTATACATTTTCTCATTTTCTTTTTTTTTTATTATAATTTTAAATATCTTTAATTTATTTTATTTATGATTTGTAATAAATTAAATATTCTTTTATTTTCGTAATTTCTGTTATTTTATAATAGTATATTATAATATATATTTAAATATATTTTAATTTTAAAATATTTTAAATTAATAATTTATATTAATTATTTAATTTATTTTTAGATTTAATTATTATTAATTAATTTTGTTAAATTCAGATAAAATTAAATTTTAAAACTAAGATGAAAAGAATTGTTTACAGATAATAGACAAAAAACATTTAAAAGTAAAAATAGCAAATATATATATTTGTTTTAATAATACAATAAAGAAAGTTAAAAAAAATCAAAGAAAATAATAATTAAATAAAAATAATATTACTTCTTAAAATAAATTAAAAATTTTTTCTTTTACATATATTAGAATACAAATAGAAATACAAAACAAAAAAATCTTAAAAAAATAAATAAAATTTAAATGTTAACTTAATAATAATACTAAAACGTTTTAAATTATATCCCATTAATAATTCACGATTTACGTAATCCATTATCCCAAATATAATCTACATTTTAATTACATAAAAATTAATTAAAGTTGATCTAATTCGATTTCTATGATATAATATAGGATGGAATAAATTAATTAAACGAATAAATAAACAAGGCATTGAATGTTTTTCATAATATATTAGAAAAATAGCAATATAATTATGTGGACGATATAATATATGAAGATGTAGATCTAAATAAATTTTTAGAATAATTTTGGATAAATAATTCCGCAATAATAGAAAATAAAAATCAAGTAGATTACTAACTTTTCGTTTAATCTACAATTCCACCTTTTCTAAATATTCCCAAAAATGAAATAACTTAAGTTTTATAGAATTTATTTTTAAATGCATGTAAATTTACATAAAAAGGCTCAATAAAATTAATTTTAAGTTTTTAGGAATAAGAAAAATTATTAGAATAAAAAAATAAACTAACCAAAATAACTGATTAATTTGATAAATTTAAATATTTTATAGAAAATCCATTTAGTACTTCATCTATATTTTCTTTAGAAGAAGATATAGATGAAAATAGTCTTCTTTCTTGTTCATATTTAAACGAAAAAAATTTTGATTAATAATAATTAATGACAGACTAGAAATAGACTCCCAATTCTTTCCATTAAATAAAAACTTTTTCTGAAGTAAATTACAAAAATAATAAAGAAAATACTTTATTGAAATAAACTAATACTTCCACTAATATTTCCAATACAAAAAAAACCCATAAACTTGAAAAACTAGGACATAAATATTACTAAATTTTTTCCAAAAAATAACAGAATATTCACCCGTTTATCAGAGAGTTTGTTTTTGGAGGTTGTTTTTAGGAAAATAAGCATATTTAAGGTTTTTTGAAAATCGAAGTTATTGATACAGGTATTGGAATGAAAGAAAATGAATAAAATAATATTTTTTAATTATACTAATAGGCGAATTTAGGAATTTCGAAAGATTATGGAGGATCAGGAGTTGGGCTTTATTCTTGCAAAACAATAGCAAATTTACTAAAAGGAGATATAGTTTTTTATTCAGAGGAAAATAAGGGAACTGCCTTTATTCTTTATATTCCTTGTATTGGGATTTATAAAAACGGACTTGATTTAGAGTTTAAATGTGAAGATTTTTACAAATAAAGAAGAACTTAGAGACAATTATCAAAGAGAAATGTGAATTTGGTAAATTAAGATTTGGTTAGGGCAGATAAGAAGATTTTGAAAAAAAATATTATGTTTATTGACGATAATAGTTATATTTTATAAACTATATAAATGTTTTTCTTAAACTGCCCACATTATAATATTTTTACATATAATTAACCTATTACTGGGCTATAAGTTTTAAAATAAAATACTAAAAAATTTGATTTAGTTATCATAGATTATGAAATGCCAGATATAAATGGGATTGAATTATGTAAAAAAATAAAACTTATTGACTAAAATGTGATTTTAGTATGTTATTCAGGATATTGTAATAAGGAATTCAAGATTTAGTGTATATAAAATGGATTTTTTGATGTATTGGAAAAGCCTTGTTCGAAAAGATAATTACTTTAACTTTTTTATAAAGTTTTTACAAAAGAAGAAGGCTATTAATGAATATTTTTTTTTTTTTAAAAAAAAAAAAAGGTAGCCTAAATTTGCTTTTTTGTTTGTTTTGTTTTTACTTTTATTCTAAATTATATACATCATTTATTTTTTTATTAATTTTTTGTATTTTAAGTGTTATTTTTTTTTTAAAATAAATACTGTATAATTTACAATTTTTTTTTTTTTATTTAACAATAAAAATTAATAATAATAATATAAATTATTTTGTATTTTATTTTTAAAAAAATCAAATTTATTTTAATTCATTTTAACTTCTAGAATTTTTACTTAGTAATTATCCAATTTATGAACAAAAAATCTTAAGCTTTTCTAAAAAAGACATGGGTTTGGAATATCCATTTAAATAAAGACAAAAAAAATAGGCATCGAAATATTAATTTTCAATAAAGTAATAAGAATTAAGATAATCAATTTATTAAAATCCATTTTTTAAATAAAAAAAATAACCACTTTTATTATATTAGACCATATGAAGGGCTATATATTTAACTTTTTTATTATTATTAGCTTCTTATTTTAACTCTTCAATTAGTTTTGAGGCTAATTTTTAATTTCTGAATTCGTTTATGACTCCAATAGTCATTATATATATATTGTACTTTTCTTTAAATAATTAATTTAGGCTACATTGATAATGCTTAATATTTGTTCTTTTGTATTTATATATAAGTCCTCCTATTATATATTTCCCCTTTCCAAATATTTATAAATCAAGCTCTATTACAATATTTTTTACTTTATTTTACTCGATTTTATTATAAAAATCATTACCATATTAAACTGGAAACCACTCGTTATGTAATTCTTTTAATTAAGCTAAATCGTTTCGATTTTATATTTATCGAATTTTTATATCCTTTATAATGTCTATTTTACTTATTTCGATTTCTTGGAGTATATAATGTATTTGAGCTGTATATTCTTGATTTTGGATAGATGTTGGAGGAAACGATTCACTTATTCGAAAGTAATTCTAATTTTATATTTATATTTCTAAGTCTTGTTGCTAATTTTTATTCTTCATTTAATTTTTCTTTATTATTGATTTGTAAATGTTTTTTGTTTTTTCCTTCTAAAAGTAAGATATAATAAAATTTTTAAAAAAATATTATAATAATTTTGAATCAGGCAGTTTATTTTAAAAATATTTACAATAAAAAATATTGACATAAATATTATTTATAATTATAATAAAATAAAGTTATTTAAAAAAAAAATACAATTAAAATATATATTAATTTCAATATACAAATTATAATAAAAAAACTAATACAATATTAAAAAATAAACAAATTAATTAAAAATATTTGCAATAAAAAAAAAAAGTGTACAAATGGGAAATTGTGCGAATACTTTTAATACAAATTAAGATGAAATTAGTATAAAAAGATATATAAAATAATTAATCAAATTTCAATTATTTCCATTAAAAAGGATTTAACTTAAAATAATTTATTTTTTATTTTTTTAGCAAACAAATAAATCTAGACAAACAATTTTGTTTTTCACCATATAATAGGAAGAGGAGGATTCGGAAAGGTTATTTATATCATTTAAAAAATATAAAACAAAGTATAGATTGTTTTTTTAGGTATGGAAAGTCGAACTTAAAAAAACTAAATAATTTTATGCAATAAAAGAAATGTCAAAAGCGAAGTAACTTTTTGTTTTTTATATTTTTTGTTTTGTTTACAATAATATTTTGTAAATTCAATGAATTATTATTATTTCAATATAATTTTATTAATTATTAATAATTAATTTTTCTTTTATTTTTATTTTAGAATTATATCTAAAAAAAGTGTTAACTCAGTTTTAAATGAAAAACATTTACTAACAACTTTATAACATTCGTAATTTTTTTGTATTATTTATATTTTTTATATATTTCAATAAATAAGTTTTCTAGTTAATATTGTTTCTGCATTTTAAGATTCTGAAAAATTGTATTTAGTAATGGATTTATTAACAGGAGGCGATTTGAGATTCCATTTAGGAATAAAACAAAAATTTAATGAAGAATAAACAAGTCATATAATATTATAAAATATATAAAAATAAAAAAAAAATTAAAAAAAAGAATTCTTTATAGCTTGTTTAATGATTTCTTTAGAATATTTACATAATAATAGTATAATACATAGAGATATAAAACCTGAAAATTTAGTTTTAGATTAATAAGGATATTTAAGAGTAACAGATTTAGGAGTTGCAAGAGTATGGAAACCTGATAATTAATAAGATACCAGTGGAACACCAGGTTATATGGGTAATTATATATTTTAATATATAATATAAAAAATATAAATAATTTTAAAATAAGCACCAGAAGTAATGTGTAGATAAGCTCATGGGTATATTTATTTAAAAATATATTCATAATTTTTATATTATTAAAAATAAGAGTTTCTGTTGATTATTACGCTATGGGTGTAATTACCTATGAATGCATGTTCGGAAAAGTAAAATTAAAAAAAAAAAAAAAATACATTCAAAAATTAAGAGACCTTATTTAGGAAGAAGTAGAAAAGAAATAAGAGATTAAATAATCGCTAGATAAGTGAAAATTAAAAAAGAGGAAATACCACCTGATTGGTCTTTTGAATCTGCAGATTTTGTAAATAAAGTAAAATATATTATTTTTATAAATAATTAATAATATATATATATATATATATCTAATGCTTTTGTTAAACAAAAAATAAAAAAGCTTATCTAAAGAAAGCCTTTAAATAGATTAGGAGTTAATGGGCCAGATGAAGTTAAAGAACATCCTTGGCTAAAAGATTTTCCTTGGTAAAAATTATTAAATAAATAATTAATTCCTCCTTATAAACCAATTGTAAATTCTATCTTTTAAATATATATATATATATATATATATATATATTTAATTTAATTTGTATACAAAAAGTAAACTGATAATTATGATTAAAAATAATCTTTATTAAAATAAGAATCAAATCCTGAGTTATTAAAATAAAATCATTTACTTTTACGAAGGAATTCGATTTAAGGTTTTTCTTTTAATTTTATTATTTTTATTTTTTAAAAGAACTATTTTCAGCATATTATTTTGAAAAAGAAATTAATTCTTAATTTTAAAATTCTAGTCTAATAAATAATTCTACTACATTTTCTGCAAGAATAACATAAACAAATACTAATGCAAATTGATATAAATCAGAAAAAATATAAAAAAAAACTTATTATAATACAAATTGATACAAATCATAAATATAAATAAAAATTATTAAAATATTTTTATAATATATATTACTTACTTATATATTTTTTATTTTTCTGTTTTTTTAATTTAAAAACAATATTAGTAACAAAAAAAGGTGGCATTATTAAATAATATATCAGCTTTTTTTATTGATGGAATTTTTATAAAAAAATATTAAAAAAATAATGAATAAGTTAATATTTAAAATGTTTATATATTTTATATATTATATTGTTTACATTTAAGTGCATTTATAAAATACTATTATATCATTTATCAATTATAATATTTTTAATTTCCTTTATTTTTTAAAATAAATATTTAATTAGCTCTTTATTTTCCCATAAAAATTAATAAATAAAAATATACATTAAATAGTTACTTTCTAAATATTATTTAAAGCAAAATTTTTATTATTATTTATTTGTAAAATTTGGTATTTTATTTATATTTTGAGAATATATCATATTCCATTTCAATTTTTGATTAAAATTTTTAATATACGTCTACTTATCTAAATAGAAAATATCAAACTTTATATATAAATTAAATAAATAAATTTAATATTATTTGATAACTTTTTTGATGATTTTAATTAAAATATTTTTAAATTTATTATTTTATATGATTTCTTGTGATGTCTTTTCTATTTATTATTTGTTTATATTTTATATTTTTTATTTTTTTGTTCAGAAATTCAATAACAACAACAATAAAGGCAAAAATGGCTTTTTTTTATTAATTAAGAATTTAACAAAAAAATAAACATATATGTTATGAAAATATAAAAATATAAATAATTAACTAATTGCTTTTTTTAAAAAATAAATTTTAAAAATTAATAGTACATCATTTTATTATTTTGATAAAGAGTTATTTAAATTGTATTTTGTTTGATTAAATAAGATATTATATAATGCTTTTTATTATTTTAACTGTTTCTATTTTTAATTTTTCCTTTATTTATTTATATTCGATTAAAATATTCAAAATTTTCCATATGTAATAATTTTATTTTATTTCTTAATAAGTAAGACTTTACTCTAAATTTATATTTCAATATTTAATTTTTCTTGCTATTATTCTATATGTTATCTTTCTATAATTAAACTTATTTAATTTATTATTTTTTTAGTGAAAAAATTATTATTGAATTTTAATAAAAATAAATATTTATTAAAAACATTTAAATTGATAATATTTTTTAAATTATATATTATTCTTTATTCTTATTTTATTACATTAAAATATAAGAATATTTTTTTTGAATGAAACAAATCAAATCAAATTTGATTTTCTGTATCTCTTATTAATAGTTTTTTTCATAATGCGATTTTTGAATACTTTTTTGCTTTAGAGATTAATTACATAATGATTTTTTTATTTATTATTATGTAAATAAAAAAAATGATAATTTATATAATTATTTGTATTTTTTATTTATGATTATAAAATATAATTTTAAATAATTATATTTATTTTTAAATAAAAAAAATATATATAAATTTATTTATATTAACAATGTTTAAATAAAAAAAAAAAAAGATTTTAAATATATAATAAATATTATTTTTCATAATTTTTATAAATATGAATAAAAATAATATAATATATATATATATTTTTTTAATCTTTTAGTAATAATTTTTTTCAAAAACTCAATAAAAAAAAAAATTGTAAAAAATCTTTTATATTTTATGATTAAGTATTTAAAAAATAAATAAATAAACAATATAAACAGTAAAAATATATTATATAATCATATAAAAATAAATATTAATTAATTATAAAATTAATATCGAAATATTTGCAGCACTCAAATAAATAATTTATTTTAATTATATAATATTACCTTTATATTATATAATAGAATAAGAAAATACCGTTAAAAAATGTTAGGAAAATAAATAATATGATAATTTCTACAAATTATAATTCTATTAATATATTATTATAATTTATATAAAATATTAATGTTTTATATATTTTTAAATTATTTTTTAAAATAAAATTTTATTTCGGATTATATATTTCTTTAATATAGTTTTTAAAAAAGAAATTAATATTTTTTCAAAAAAAAAAAATTGTTCAAAAAAATTATATTACTTTTTTAATTTATAAATTTTAAAATTTTTATAAATTTTACATTTATTGTTTTTTATTTTTTTTTTTTTCAAAAATATAAAAAAAACTCTAATTTTGCATATTAATTAGAAAAAATATATTAAAATGCGTAGTTTACAAATTGTATAAATAAAATAATCAACTATCAAGATCATATGAAGTACAAATATCATAATCATTTTCATCATAATTTTATCTTTAAGGTTCATCAGAAGAGATAGAGTTACTTGATTATACTTAATTGTACATTTGGTCAGATTAAATAACTTGCTATCGAATATCAATAAATTAATTTATGAGCATTTTCATCCTTATTTACTTTTTTTGCAAATAGGTTTTTTAAATATTTGGTTGCATTTGATTTTTTTATCATAATTTTATTAAATTGATTCATTCTAATCATTTAACCAAAAATTTATTTAATTACTCATTTTTTAATTTTCTTTTTATTTTATTTTTTATTATTTAATTTTCTTAATATTAAATTAAAAAATTGTTATTATTTTTTTAGTTGTATTATTTTATATTTTATTTATTAATTTATATTATCTATTATATTTTAAAAAAACTGATAAAAAATTATTTATTTTAATTTAATATTTACATAAATATATATATTTCTTATGCAATAGTAATTCTATATGATTATTTTTCAAGGTTGAAAATAATTATACAAACTATAAAATTTTCATTTTAAGAAAATATAATAGACCAAAAAAATATTAGATACAATATATATATTTATATTTAACTATAAAAAAAAACTGTTTTTTCAATAATTAAACTAATTAACATATTTTAAATAAACTTTATATAAACATTTTAATGTTAAATATTTGAATTAATTAAATTATTAATTTTAAATAAATTAAAATATAATTAATATCATTAGATTAATAAAATATAAATATTTATTAGTTATGTATAAATATTGTTTCACTTATTAATAAAAATAATTAAAAAAAAAGATAAAAAATAAAATAGTAAAATATATAATTATAATAATATATATATATACTAAATATAGTTATCTATATAATTTTTAATAAATATAAAATTATATATATTTTTGTAATTATTGTAAATATATTTTATTATAATATATAATAATATTTATTTAGTATTTATAACTACATATAAAAGAGATTATTATAAATTAAAATATATATATAATAGTTTTTTATAAAAAATAATAATACTATATTTAAATAAATAATGAAAATAATATCATTTAAATTTATGTTATATACAATAATATCTATATTATTATTTTTAACATATTATTTAATTATAATTATATATGAATTTATCTTTTTTTTTTTTTTATCTAAAAATATTTATTCGGATATTATATCTTTATTTTTAAATTATATTTTATTTCTCATATACAAATAATTATGTAAAAAAAAAATTTTTAAATAAAATTTAAATTTATATTATAAATTTAATCTAATATTTATTCTGTGAAAATAATATTTTTTGTTTGCTTAATATAAACATAAATATATATGTATTTAATTAAAGTCTAAAATATTGTCATTTTCATTAAAATATGCATTAATATAATAATAGTAAAATTCCTTTATAAAAAAATAAATAGAAAAAAATATGGAAATTATTAAATTTACATAAATTGTCATTAAATATTCTATTTATAAAACATATATAAATATAAATATTTAATTCATATGAAAAAAGAGCACTAGAAATTATTTATTTGTATATAATATTATAATAATTAAATATATTTCAAACATAATTATGATTAGATATTATTTTATAAAAATTTCAAAATAATATTTATAAAAATGCATTATTTTTTTTAAATTTAATTTTTTTGTATTTATATAAAAAAATTAATTATATATTTTTATATATATTTAATATTAAAAATAATAATAAATATATATATTTTTATATATGTAAATATCCAAAATAAAACTAAATTTAATAATATTTAGATTTTTTTTGTTAATTTTAAAAAGTTAAAATGAATACGAATTCGTTAATAATTGATAATATTATAAATAGATATATAAACTTTTATAAATAAGTTTATTACTTATTTCTTTTTTTTTTTTAATAAAAAAATAAAAACATAAATAATAAAAAAAAAAAAAAAAAAAAGTATCAAAATTATTAAAAAAAAAATTAAAAAATATTAAATTTATTCAATCAAAGTAACTACTACTAAATTCGCAATCACAATTAATTAATTAACTTGAGTTATTATTATATAAGTTTGTAGTAGCCTCACTAATTTATCGAATTATTTTATTTTCTTCGAAATTATTCTAATTATTGATGAAATTTTAATTCATTTCTTTTACATTCCATTTAATATTATCTATATAGCATGATTATAAAGGTTCATTTAAGAAACTATTTTCATCATAATTTTCATATTTTCCGTTTGTTGAGTAATTTTCTATTTAAATATCATTATTATCTACGTTTTATTAATAACTTTTGAATAAATTATAGTAATCTACTTTATTTTCGGATTCAAAGAAAATTTATTCATTATTTAAAAATCCTTATTATACTTCATTATTATTACTATTTTTTTTTTTTTTATTATATTAAAAAATATTTTTTTGTTTTGTTTATTCTATTACTTTTAATTTTTAATTTGAAGTTATTTTTGTTCTTGCTCATTTTTAATTAAAGAATTTTCTGAAATTTATTAATCATTTTATTTATTTTGTGAATAACTTTAGTTCAGTATTTATTATTTCTAATTTATAAGTCTTCTTAGAGTCAGTTCTTATTAACTTCTGGCATCTATTATTTTTTATAGCATTTCATCTTTTTATTGCCGAAT